TGAAATCTGTATTTCAGATAAAAAGGAAACTCACAATACTGCATGTTTATTGTGAAAATGCTTAATATTATCCTTTAAACATGGAACTTATTTAGGCCCTTGCTAGATGGTGCTTTAAGCACTTCTAATCGGATGGTCTCATATCTTTCTAGAAAATCCTACAGTGTGAAAGGGAATACAAAAAAAAATAGTAAATATGATCATACTTAAAATCCTTTTGGTCATTTAAATGCAAGGTTAACATGAAGTTATAAGCAAGTTTTAAATAAATTTAATGCTGAAGCACCTAATCAAACTCACAAAAGAGCATTTAAAGTCAGCAGTTCTTATCTGGCTTCATGCCCTAATGTCACCCTAATGAAATCGAGTCAGTGATTACACCAGGGAAGTACAAAGTGACTGTTACATCAAAGAACTCTTATAAACACAAGCCAGCAATAAAAATGTGCAAAATATTGTATCCATATTATATCACATTCTGAACTCCTCCTCTGACCAAACTAACCAAACAAATGCTAAGGGAGAACATGCACTAGCGCCAAAACAAAGAAAATCCAAACCTGTATGAGACACAAGCAACTTACTCACCGTTGAAGACTCAGTGACGTTAACAGTTGCCACTGAAAAGTACAATTGGAACAGCTTTTGAAGGTTATCTACACAATTGGTAAATACAGCTGTACACCAAAGTGAATAGTACTGTGTGGGAAATGATCTTTGGCCAATGAAAATTTGACTGTGTGGTTTTAAATTTCGAAGTTAAATTCACCATTGAAGTCTCATCTTGGTTTAGAAATATAAAATGACATATTACTGCATTCTTGCTAGATCCACTCAGAATGTAGACTCCACTCCCCTTTTTGATCATCAGTCCAGTTCTTAACAGAGATGTAACTGCAATGATGCTTTTTTATTACAAAGATCACAAAATCCACCATCACAATTGGCACTTCTGGGACCACCAGCCAAGGTGCTAAGGACACAGTGGGTATAGAGAATTAATGCACTCCAAGCCCAGATTCCTCCAGCATTAAACCTAGTGCCTTGATTTTGCTATATTCCCTCATCTTCTATCATAGACACCATCTTTTACTGTAAGAAAATAACTTCTGATCCACTGTTTCATTTGCATTTAATTCATTCAGTAACTAAAAAGTTGTTAGCATATAACATTGGTTTACTAGAATCTATATGTATTGACATAAATTGTATTATTATATTCATTTCAGTAACTTATTTTAGATTTTTCTTTTGACACATTGATGTTATTGTTCTAAGGAACGAGTTATGCCTACTACAGCCGAGTCTATCCACAAGCTGGATATTTTCAACATATGCCTTGAAACTTGCATAACCAAATGCAACCAAAGGCCATGGAATTCCAGCCCCCAATTGCTCTCTGAAACACATATATACATCCCTGCAATGGAGGACAGGAAGAGTTAGAATTAGATCATTCCATGGAGCCCATCAGCACACAGATCTCGTCCTTCTTCCATACCACAATCCTCCCCAATATCCCTCCGAGAAACCTTAGTGGGGGTTGCTGTGCATGGGGAGGTGGATGTGTTATGTTCATTGTTTTTCTCTTCCTCTCTTGCACCCACCCACGCATCCTTGGCAGCGTGGTGGGAGATTCTAGAGACTGTGGTGAGTAGGAGTGTCTCTGGTAACATACCTGCAATGAAGCTGTGCTGCTGGGGAGCTGGAGGAAGGCACCCAACATTCTGTTCTGGAGACAGACCACCTCCATGTGAATGGCTGTGACCTCCAGCAGAACCCCCAAGATCTAAGAATTCAGAGGAAGACCTTCCCCCCACTCTTTCTGTGAATCTCACAGGAACAATATATTGGAAACTGAGGGAATATTTGTGGAGATGTTCTTGCTCCTGCTCCAGGTTTTTCCATGAGAGTGGTGATCTGGAAATTAATGCTGAAGGGCTCAGTTCTGCAGGCCCTAAACAAAACTTCCATTAAGGTCCATAGTTTGAGCTGGGACTGCAGGATCAGGCCCCAAATTTGTTGCAATACTTACTTTTGTATCATTGTATTTTTGTAGAAACAATCTTAAGCTGTAAATTCATTCTAGAATGTTTCAGATAAATCGCTTTTTTCATTCTCAGTGTAACATATGGGCAAAACCCAGGTTTCATGGCTAAATTTGGATGTTCTTCAAACTTGCATTTTCCTTTTTCGTATCCATGTTATATTTTAAAAACTGGACTGCATTAAAATGTGAAAAAATTATACTCACCATCATTCACACGTCTGCAATGGATGCATCAACAACAATTTTAGTTTTCTAAATGTTACAGTCAGGAGCGGCGCCAGGGTTTTTGCCACCCTAGGCGGCAGCACTCCTCCTCTGAGCATTCAGGGGGCCTGGGGTCTTCGGCGGTGGGGGTCCTTCCACTCCGTGTCTTCGGGGCACTTCAGCAGCGGGTCCTGGAGCGAGTGAAGGACCCGCCGCCGAATTTCCGCCGAACACCCAAAGCAGAAGGACCCCCTGCCGCCGAATTTCCGCCGAGGGCAGCAAAATGCCGCCCCCCCAAATCCTGCTGCCCTAGGCGACTGCCTAGGGTCACCTAGTGGAAGCGCCGGCCCTGGTTACAGTTACTAAGTAGACATGCAGTGGCCTCTGGACTTAAATTGTGTCAGTTGCCCATTAAGTCTGATGTATAAAGATATTGAAACGAGTACCTTGAATCTAGTTTCAAAACTACATTCTGGAATCATGTCAGAATAAGATCTTGTCTACACAAGAATGTCACACCAGTTTAAATTAATTCCTGAATTGATTTAGTTAGACTGGTGCAAGTGCCTTTGCAGACATGCTTATTTCAGTTTATGATGGCTTGTTTTAGGTTATCTTAAAACAGATTCCTAATCGACCTAAGCTAAACCCAAACAAGCATGCCCATACAAGGGTTTGCTCTGGCTTAACTAAATCAGTTTAAAGTTATCCCTCTAGTCAACCAATTGCAACTTCCTCATGTAGACGACATGTTATCTGGTTACCTATGATTTTGATAGCCAAAATACACCTCTACCCCGATATAACCCTGTCCTCGGGAGCCAAAAAATCTTACCGCATTATAGATGAAACCGCGTTATATCGAACTTGCTTTGATCTGCTGGAGTGCGCAGCCCCGCCCCCCCCCGGAGCCCTGCTTTTACCGTGTTATATCCGAATTCGTGTTATATCGGGTTGCGTTATATCGGGGTAGAGGTGTAATCAGTTTTTTACAACATGTGCAGAAGCAGCCAGCTAATCTTAGGCAAAAAGTCTTTCCAAAGCCCACGTCCCTGAGAGGATACCAAAAAATCCCTTTCTAGGTAAAACTACCCTTCAACCATGGTCCCCAAACAAGAAACACCAGTATTTAATACACATTCAGTCAGTAAAGGAGCAAATATATTCTAGTTTTATTTGTAAAATATTCTTTCCTAAGGGCAAAATACATTTTACAAAAGTTAGCAAAAATTGGTACAATTATGAGGAAACTATTACTATTTTTTGTTCAGTTATTTGGGTCTCTTCAAAATGGAAGATAGAGGTACACATCACATTGACAGAATTCAGTGCTAGTTAGCTAAGTCTATAAATATGCCATTCTGACATTTACATCTGTGGATGACAGTGGAAAAATTCTCTACAAATACTGAAAAAAAAATCTAAGCATTTTTGGTATTTTTCTGATTTTTGTAACTGGAAATACCTACAGACTAGATTCTAAAACTGTTGGTATTTTGCAAGGAGGATCCTAACTAAGAATAATGATAGAGTTGTTCTTGTTTATGACCAACAAACTATTTCAAATGTTAATTTGAGGACTAAACAATAATGGCATAAAATCTATAGTGAAAATAAATCCATTCAAATGATTCATTTAAGCCTAAATGTATATACAGTCATGTAAAAAATTGAAGGAAAGTTATTTTCTATTCACATATTTATTATGACTATTACAGTCAAGTAATTTCCAAAATAAGATGCTTTACTAACATATTATATATAAAATCTTATGGAGGAGGGAGGAAAAAAGGAACATATGTAACTATTTCTGAGGGACAAAGTTCCAGCAATCCTGACTAACTTGGAGACAAACAATGTCTGAAAAGAGAGTCTGCATTTTCACCTTTCAGGGTATGACTTTGTAAGGTTGGGATGTCAAATGCTTCTAACTACTAACAACCTACAAAAAACAGAGCAAATATGCTTGATAGTTCACACAAACTGCCCAGAAACCTAAAAGTTGTGACTGTTATAGGTGAGTCTGGATAGGTGTAACAATTGTCATCTTAATCATGACCCAGGATATACAGAGCTAAAGCATGAGTCTCTTTAGCTTGAGCTAAAGGACCAATGGCTTGATGCCATGCCCAATGAAAAGCCTTCCATTGCCTTCATCGGTGGATCAAGGACCCAAGTTCTCTAGCGGGAAGCTCAAACAGACTCCTATCCTCGATGGATTAGACACAGAGGGGGACATGTAACAAACACGGAACAATGGGTTATGTTGGTATGCTAGTCCTTGATTATCCTTTCAAAAGGATATATTTTGTACTTTACATTGAGTAAAAGAGAACCAGAATATATAGACAAAAATATTCGTTTTTAATATTCATTCCAGACAAGAGCCACCCATCGGGAAGAGGAAAAATATTACTTACCAGCAATTGTATTTGTTGTAGTTGCCCTCATCTTCCCTTATCCTACAACAAAATCTCTGCTGTAGGATGGGAGAAAAAACCAAGATGTCTGACAACTCAAAATGGTGCAATACCAATCACACTCTCCTTTCTATGTTATAAGTTTTTTCGATTATATTATCCAGCTGTTAGAACAAGTTTCCTTCCCCAAACATAACAAGCTTGACCCAGATAGCTTTTAAATCCTTATTCTTTTGTTCAGGGGGACAATCATTTTCTCTTTCCTGTTCTGTGCCATGTACTTCCTCACGGCAAAATGATCTCTTCTGGGGCCAATACTTGTCTGACAAGCACCTACTTTCAGTGAAGTGCCCATCATGCAACCAACTATGAATGGAGTAAGGCATCTCTATGATGGGAATGAGTGCCAGTGGCTCAAGAAGGGAGGGACCCCAGGTCTTCCGCCATTTTGGCCTCGTGGAGTATATTATATAGTGCTGGGGACAACCCGACAAGATTGGCTTCTGGATAGTATTTTGAACAACCTACAGCATGACTGCAGCTAGGTGTCAGATGGTTGTAAGACATGTAGCATTTTAGTCTGTAAGGTTGATAGTGTCACTTTCATACGGCTTTACTGAAGTAGGGCTTTGCGGAGGACTCTTTTCACTTGATGGCGGTGTGGCCAAAACTTTCTTTTGGACTCCAATTGCAGCCTTCTTATGGTCATGTCTAAGACTGCGGATTGTACTGTTTATGGCAGCCACACATGCTTTCCAATCATATCCAGTTTCCTTTAGATCAAAGGATGGGTAGTTCTCTTGAAGAAAGTCTAAAGATAAATAACCAGATAAGTAGGGCATTATCATCAATTATTTATGCAAGCTCTGTTTTGCTTGCATGTTTTATTTGGACACAACTGGGCCAAAACAAGTATTCAGAAGTGCATTCTCCCAGTACAGAATACAGTCAAACTCACCATTAAATTACAAGGGTCAAAGCTAGACTGATGATGAAGTCTATTTTTAAAAAGTTATTGGAAAAGTTGAAATACATAAAAGTGACTAGATGGCCTAGGGAGATAATATGTGGACAGGGTTTGTTTTGTTTTGTTTTTTAATCTAGCAGAGATCAGGAGTTGGGGTAAAAATATATCACCCCTTCATTCATCCCACTGGTTGTGCCTCTAATCTCATGGCAGTTTCACGTAATGTTTCGGAAGCTGCATGATTTATTATGGATATAAGGTTAGTAATTTTTATTTATCTCCAGCCCATCTTTTGAAGAGAGTTTAGCTGTGCATACCTCTGAGAGCATTGATCCTGTTGCAGTCCAGTGGACACATGCCACGTTCCAGATTACCATACACATTGCTCTTCACCAATACATCTTCTGTGAAGAGATGGCGAATCAGATAGCGAGCGGACAACTCTGGCCGAGACTTCCCCTTGGCTACATAAATAACTGAGAAGGGCAACTGAACATTGCGCCATGGACTCCCAAGATGTTCTAGAGAGGAAGTTGGAGAGATAAATATTTTATTTTCATTGCAGAAATGGTATTTATCATGCTTTCAAAGGACCACATTATACTAGAATACAATTTTTCCCCCCCTACACTACTTACTTGGAATGGCCAGAAGAAATAACTTAACATTATATATATATATACACACACACACACACACAGCATCTTTCATTCTGAAAGATCTCAAACCACTTGACAAACTTTATATAAGATCTGTAAAAGCAGCAAAGAGTCCTGTGGCACCTTATAGACGTGAGATCCAGACTAACACGGCTACCCCTCTGATATATAAGATGGAATAATGATACCTAGCTAGGCAGACAACCAGTGTGCAACATACTGAATGTTGAAGAAAGGAAGAAAAATTTTAGCAAAGGACATGAAGCAAGCCCTGGTCTTACAAAAAGCATCATGGGATCCTCAGAAATCAAGGTCCTATCTGTGTGACCCTTACAGTTGCTCCTTGAAGAGTCTTACATGCAGTAATGCATAAAACTCCATGTATCTAAATGGTTGCAATAATGCAGGTAGAACCTGGGATTTGGGAACACTAGGTATTTTAAACACAATGGCTTAGATTTGCAAGCCACCCCAAGCAGCCAAAAAGATTATTTCAAATATATATTTGCTCTGCTGTACAGGAGCATAACAGTCGTCTTTGTTACGCTTTCAGAAATGCTAGTTATGCAACTGGACTTGCTTCAGGACTGCTTCCTGTACTGTTATTTCATCTAAAAAAAATAAATAAATAGTCCTTCCAAGAAATAAAACCAGTGCTGCTTTCTGATAGTATTCAAACCTTGTGGGTGGAGAATGAAAATAGAATGAACATTCTTCTATATTACTCTGAAACTACTTAATTTCAATGAAGAAGCGAGTCACACACTGAATAAAATGTACATTATATGTAGCAAAAGAATAGTCAATTACGAGACCTGTTGAGTAAGAGGGTCCTGCCACCTCTTTCGTGGGCTGCTCAAGCCCTATGCAAGTCCCACCCAATCAATTGTCTCCCGGGGAACTGGCCACAGAGAATTTCCCCCAGAGCTCTCTATAGCCATTACATGCCATGTAGTATCTTGTTTTACTGCTGTATTTATAAACTGTGCACTTTTATTAATGGAAGAAAATAAAACAAATTTTAAGGCTGCTTTTGGGATTATTTGGAAATTGTTATAAAGTTTAGCACAGTGACAGATCTGCCTGTTAGATTCGGATATAGAAAATTTCTCTGCCTCTTTAATATGCCAAGCTGCCTTGGAACATCTATTATTTCTCATATAAAGTGGGAAAATAGGGTAATAATGCATGAACTCCTGAAATGCTAGATGGACTATTTCACAGATGAGATTGCCAATCTAATTATTCAGCAAAAGTGCAAATGTGTTTGTGATAAAGACATGGGTGGAGGGGAACACAGGTGATCTGTTGCCAGAGTCTGTTTGGCATGAGGGGACATACTACCTATACTGAGGGATTATTTTGGGAAAAATGGAAAGCAGTCCTGTAGGTCAGTAAACCCCATTTACCACTGTGTAGGATTCAAGGCGCTGTATATCACAAATGATTTCACTTACCTGTACTTAAACTAGCACAGTAGTTTTGGAATCTTAACATCTGCTACTTCTCAATCAACTGTATAAAATGCAATTTGTGTTAATCCAGAAGATGAAAGTCTCCTAACTTACCCATTGGTTCCAAAGACTGTAGTTTATTGGATGAAGGTGCATGGAACATCTCAGGGACTTTATCCCATGTGGTACTCTGAAGTCTGTTTGTTGTTGAGCTGGTCATTTTCTGAGAGGATTGAGAATTGACGTCACTATCTTCCCCATTATAGTTTAAATCCACACAAATAGATGTGTCTGGAGTGTCAGCAGGTTTCTCCTTCCCTTCAGTAGTCTCCTGAAACACACAAATGGGGTTAATGAATGCTTTGGGAGAAGTCTACCCGTTTTCCAGTTAAGTGTGTCAAATGATTTCCATATTATTAAGAATTAGATTCCACAAATTTGAGAAATTGTTAACCATATGTTTCAACCACAAGAGCCACATGTCAGCCACTTGTTGAGGTCCTTGTGTAATGAGGCACTTTGGAAGCTGAGTTGCATGGATTTCCAGGTGTTCTTGGGGTGAAACACCAGTGTGATGCAAAGGCTGGAAATATGTGATCAGATGTGGGAAGGCCTATGAGAGTATACAGTGGAGGTATAGTCTTGGGGAAGCATACTCTGAAACTAGACACACTGAAGACCCAAGGGTTGCAAGGTGGAGAGGAAAAATGGATAAAGTGAGAAATGCTGGAAGTTACGCCAGAGATACTTTGGGTGGAACTGTGACTATTATCCGTGAACAATACGAAGACCGACGACATCCTTGGTTTGAATTAAAGAGGCCAGGAGAGCTATAGTGTAGGTAGAGTAGTTCTGATCCTTTTATTGCACCCAACACAAATCTCAGAGATACTACTTCCCAGGGAAACCTCTATAGCTAGCTGAACAACTGCAGCATTGAATTCTGCCCATCAAAATAACAACGGTTTAACTTGTAAGCCATCTTTCCAACACTGTTTTGAGCCCCTAGCTATTGCAACACAGTTCAGGATATGGGAGTGAAATAATTGTTAAGGCTTCTGGGAAAGGATCCTGCTGTACAATTATTTAGAGTAACAGAAGACACTGCTGAAGTCAGTGCAGATTGTTTTGGAAGAACACTGACTGAAGGGGTTTAATAGATGGGGATAACAGGGAGTTTTCATTCAATTTACAATAATGTTAATCGACTATAAATTAATTGGTAAATAAATTCCAGCGACATGGAGACAGTCTACTGTCCATCAATAGGTTAAGATAAATTTGTGTGTCCCTAATAGTAGTGGTATGATAAACAAAAGGGTAAACACTTTCCATTAGTTTAACCAAACAAGGACACTTGCAAATGGTTTTATTTAAACAGTTTAATAGTGAAAAATGTAGGAAATAAAATACTTATTAGTAACAGTTCTTAAACAGTAATTTTCGCTAAAGGTTTTTTGTTTGTTTGTAACTTTATTTGTTTAAGTAAATATTCATGCATGACCATTAAAAGTGTGTTTGAATTGATCCTTAATGAAGAGCTCTTAAAAATAAATTCTAACATGGGATAATCTGCACTATTGATAGAACTCAGAGGGAGTAGGTAGCTAGTTATACAGGGCCCCAATTCTGCAAAGATTTATGCATGTTCTTAAATGGTTAGATGACTGGGAATAATTCAGATCACACAGGCCTTCTAATAACTAGCTACTTAGACTTTGGTAAGCTTGGTAATTATTCTATAAAATTACTACAAGTTGCAACAAATTTTACTACCTATCAGCAAATATTACTATATTTTCATTTTAGGATTTTCCATGTGTGTGTCTTTTGTTAATATTATAAAATATAAAAATGCTGACACTGTTCCACACATACCATTGTGACTGGAGTCAGCGGAGCTGTGTTGAACCATGACAAAATAAGTCCCAAAGAGTCTTAAATTATGGGGCTCAGGTGGTGAGGTACTTGCTTATATATCTAATTCTGTAAGAAAACATTTACTCTCTCATTAATAACTATTACACCTGGAGATGACTTACTGGGTTTATTTTGGTTTCACAGCGTAAGCAGCGGATCATGGCATTGACGTTTGTGATGCAGGTTTTCCAGTCTCTTCCATATTCACTCAGGTCATAATTTGGGAAATGAGTTGCAAGAAATTCTGCACACAAAATGTAGGAAGTCTTTTAAACTATGTAATAATAAAGAAGCACTAAAAAGAACTTTAGTCAAATAAGTGAACACAATGAGATCAATTTCAAGTGCTTACCAAGATTTGTGAATGAGTTTTCGATTTTAGCTTATATTAAGGAAATGTATGGTAGACTGGTACTTTCAATATAGGCAGCAGTATACTTCTGCATCCCATTACAAAACTGAGATGCATCAGAAAAGTTTCCCTGTACCTGATAAGGAGCATTTTCTTTATTCAATATTTCTTAGTAGATACATGGAAATTGTCAAACGAACTACCTGACTATAAATAGAGATGACAGGACTAGCAAAGGGGCTAACATACATCATTCTATTATTCATATGAACTGTGGTTTGCTTTCTGCCCAGACAGAATAAATGAATGCCTGATTTGTGAGTCTTACAAAAAGGAGTAGCTAGTGTATGCGTAGGTGGGCGCATGTGGGTTTGGGGCTGGGAAGGGCATTTCTCAAAACGTTGCCACCCTCACCACTTTTCAAACAAGGAAGAAATGGAGGGTTAGGAGAAAAATGCTGACATGTCCATTAACTTGTGTCCTATGTGTGTTATGGCCTTATAATACAAAATGAATATCATCAGCTCTGATCGATTAATGAGAAAAATATGAAATTAGTGTAATCAGAGAAACTACCATAAATATTGAAAGAGTTTACAATGAGCATTTGAGGGTAACTAGATAAAAAGTTCCCCACAGAACCCAAAGGTGCAGAATCGAGCAATATTCACTACCAGTAATGTAACAGTTGCTGGATAATGAGTCACAAAAAGGTAGATTGAAGGACACAATGTAAGGGTCATAATTTAAGAATCCAAGAAAACTGCTAAGGAAGAAAAGTGAACTCTACATGTTTTGTAAGTTAGCATACCTCTAACCGCAGCAACCTTGTTAGGATCCAACGTTCTGCGCCCCCGGGCACTGACACCCATAATGCTACACAGCAAGGTTTCCTTGGGGAACAAGACACGGACTAGGTAACGTGCTGCGTACTTCGGTTTGGTCTTTTGTCGGGCTTTCATCAAATAGTTTCCAAGAACCTTTACATTTCTCTTTGGGTCACCAACATATTCTTTGTAAAGCAAAAACATTTTTTAAAAGATTAGCACAAATCCGTTAAAAGAAGGAGCTCTTCCCCAAACCAATTTCTCTCTTTACCTTTATGACATAGTAAACTCATATTTCCTAACCTTTCATTACGAAAACTAGATCGACTATATATTATCTATCTTTGCACTTACAGGAGACGCAGAAATAGCTTCCATCAGTATATTCTGACTGAATTAGCGTTCTTAGCTCACTCGTATCAAGCATCCAAAACTGATTAAATAATAGTAACAGCATTTTTTAAAAGCAGTTAAAAGTGTAAGACACAAGAATGACCTACTATGTGCAGATACTTGCATACACATTTTCAAGAAAACATCTCATGAAGGTATCAGGTGTGAGTGTCCATTTTATTAGGTGTGCACAAACAGAAGTTGAGGCACCTTTGAACACTTTACCAATTATTTATATTACTCTAAAAAATAAGTGAATCTGAATGTGATTGAAAACTCAAAAAAAAAAAAAAAAAAATGCTGCCTTCCGCATGACTCAGGGTATATGTACATCATGAAGGGACTTAACATCTGCCTGTGTCATGTGTACTTACCTAGAACATAAGAACGGCCCTACTGGGTCAGACCAAGGGTCCATCTAGCCCAGTATCCTGTTTTCTGACAGTGGCCAGTGCCAGAGGGAATGAACAGAACGGGTAATCATCAAGTGATCCATCCCCTGTCGCTCATTCCTAGCCTCTTATGGTGAAATGGTTCATGGAGATCTTTTTGGTGATCCACAGAATTAAACATTTTGGAAAAATAAGTAATGGAGCATTTGGGGGTGTCTCTTACAAAAGAGTCCACAGAATGAAAACATTAGAGAACCTCTGCCTTATCCCATTCAAGAATTAGCATTCCTTACACACAAAGCAATTAAGTTGCTTTCTCAAATGAAGAACATACTGTAAGTTATGTTCCACACCTCGCTTTATGGATGACATATTCTTTATATAATTATCGTAAGTATTTATTATATACAAGAATATTTTGTTTTCACATGAAAGCATTACCAAGGAAATCCTTAGATTTAGAGAAACTCCAATATGCTGCACTTCCATTGTAATGGCTGCTGAGATTTTACTGTCGCATATTGGCTCACTGTACTTGCAGGGAGTCCTTGCTGTTCTGTACCACTGGCAGCATGAAAAAAGCTTGTATCAGTAGGACAGGGAAAGAAGAGGGCTCATTAATGCAATCCTGAAGCATTATATCTGCTGCTAAGATTTGTTAAAATGCCCAAGTTATTCTGCACATCAGAATAATCAGTAACATGGAAGACTCAACTGAGTATTTGTTAGTACAGTGTACATACTAACTTTTTGAATATTTGACTTCAAGTTTTAAAGTGACTTCCTGTATATCATGCACACCCAATAGCTTTATTCAGAAGGCTTTAAATATTAATCCACTTTTAAAATGCAAAAGGAGAAAGTCAGCTCTGCTCATTTATTTTTGTTAAAGAAAAAAAATGGAGCGCCTTATGCATGCATTTTATTCACTGTAATTTTCCACTCTACTATACTCAGCATATGTGACTTGTAACTCACCAAAACTAGGATTGATAGAGACAGAAGAAGATGGCAGTTCTTTACTAATATTCGCACTTCCCGATGTGGCCCTGTAATTCATCATCATGGTGTTTCTCCCCAAACTGGTTTCAGATGGGGTTGGCATCACCGACGACACCATTGGGGAACCCACCGCTGAAGATGCTACATTGGCAGTGCTTTCCATGACTGTGGTTACAAGACTTGGTTGTGGAGGAAGGTCAGGGATCCTGTTAGCCACTGTGTATGGTGGATGCAGTGAGTGAGTGGAGACTATAGTGGGTAGGGGTGGGCTTTGCCTAAGCAAAGGTTGTTGCGATTCAAGTTGAAGAGTTTGTTGAACAGGTTTTATTGCAGAGTTGGCCTGGAGATGGCTCTTTTGTAGCCTAACCCTCATTGATGGGCTAGGCCCTCCTTGTCCTGGGGGAGAGATATGAAGACTTGACTCTCTTTCCATTGGTTTCTGTACTCTAATTTTTCCATGGGGTAAATGATTGGAACTTCTGTACGTAAATCCAATGGGCCTCTGCAAATGTGATAGGAAAACAATAATTAATGTAAAACTACACAAATCTGTTTTTTTTTTCCTTCATGAACAAGAGAGATTAGATCTCAGCCTAAGCATCTGGCATTAACTATAGTCTTTTCATAAAGATAGCTCTGACCTCTTGACCACGAATCTAACTATTGCATGTTTTTCGGTCTCTGTCTTCATGGGTTTCCACAGTCCAGACACCAACATAGCATTCTTCTCTTGTGTTTGCATCCTGCTCCTAAAGTTCTTCCCAATCACCTGCTAGCATAACATTCCTTCAAGAGCTAAATAAGTAGCTGAGGAACAGATTGTACCTATATTAGTAGTTGATAATGGGCATATTTTTGTACAATATTTGCTGAAAATTTCATCAGTTGGTGTCACCAACCTGCTGAGCTATAAGTTGTTGCTCCTGCTGCTGCATTAAAGGAAAAACATTTGGTTTTGCACCTTTTATTTTGGTTGGCTTCTTTACAATGAAGTAGGGCAGAAAAGTTTTGTTTGGTCTCAGCCTGACACCCTTTTATCTGTTTGATGCATTAGAAGTGCAGGCCCTATTTCACCTAGAAGACTCCATGACGACTGGAAATGATTTGTAAAGTGATGACATTAAAGCAGCGGTGGGCAACCTGTGGCCCGTCAGGGTAATCCGCTGGCGGGCCACGAGACAGTCTGTTTACATTAACTGTCCGCAGGCACGGCTGCCCGCAGCTCCCAGTGGCTGCAGTTCACCATTCCCGGCCACTGGGAGCTACAGGCGGCCATGCCAATGTAAGCAAACTGTCTCGCAGCCTGCCACTGACGGGCTGCAGGTTGCCCACCACTGCATTAAGGGAATAAAACTGGAGCAATTGAAAGAAGAAATAAGTGTTACTAAAAATTCTTTAATTTCAATTAACATTTTGGAGAAAGAATGCCTTTGTGAGACTATTAAACAACAACAGTTATGGAATAAGCGCTAAAAATATACATCCTCCAAGATACCCAACAACTCTTACAGCAAAAACAGGGGAGGTCAGAAATGACAACAATGATTTGTGGCCTGGAAAACATGTTTTACTATCAGAGACTAAAGGAGCTCAATCTATTTTGTTTATTACGGAGAAGTTTAAGAGACAACTTGACCATGGCCTAAAATTACCTACCCATGGAGAAGCTATCTGAGACTAGAGGACTCTTTAGTTTAAAAGCTGAAGTCAGTAAAGTTCGAACTGAAAATAAATGTAATTTTTAACAGAAAGAATAATTAGCTATTGGAACAGATGATACAGGGATGTGATATATGTTCCATCACTTGAAGTCTTTAAATCAAGACTAAGGCCCAGATCCACAAAGGGACTTAAGCACCTAAACCCCAGATTTAGGTCCCTAAATCCCAGTTTTAGGCAGCACTGCAATCCACAAACTCCCCTCCACTGCCATGTAAACCTGTGGGTTCCTAAACTCACCTCAGCACCTAAATTTTCAGGATAAAAGTTTCCCTGGGGCCTATGTTTCTGGGTGTGCACACTGCTGCCTCACTCTGTGTGTCCAGATGTCTATTTCCTATCTAAGCCCAGCGTGACCCATGAAGCAGGGGAGGACATCATCTATCTTCCCTGCAGAGCCTGGTCCGGTAGGCGTGCTCTGAGCACACCTATTGGATCAGGACTGATTCAAAATCCAGGAGGAGGAAGAGGAAATGGAAGTGATGGTACCCACTTTATAACTTTTAGCACAGTAGTTACAGCACTCAGCCAGCATATGGGTGACCTAGATTCAATTCTCCCCCTCTCTGCCAGAGGGGGAGTGTGATGGGGTGTACAAGCCCCCCACATTGGAAAGAACGGGGCTAAAGAGCTACTCTGGGCCCAGCCAGCCTTGCCCCAGAATACCCACAAAGTCTGCACAAGCTAGAGGAGGAAGTTAAAAAGAGGAGCAGAGTAACTCAGTGGCAAGCAGATAATCAAAGTGAGCTGGCCTACACCCTTGGAAAGGAGCACCACCGGAGCTCTCGCTGCCTGAGGCATGGTGACAGTGACCTGACCAAGCCTATAAAGAAGGGACCTGTGACTCTCTGAAGGCAGAGACTTTATTTGTGTTTTAGCTATTTACTTCACCCTGGAAGAAGAGAGGGACAGGTAGGAAGTATCCAGGGAGTTGGCTGCATAGCACCTCAAGGTGCAGGCCTTAGCTGGCTATCATTGGGCCCTGGATCGGAGCCCAGTGGAGAGGGTAGACCCAGGCTTCTCCTACCAACCCCTAAAGTGGGACAACTATGAAAGTCTGTCCTTTGGCAGAGAACCTAATTGGGGGAAGACCGTGAAGGTACAAAGATCCAGACCACAAGACTCCAGGGGAAGTCCTGAATCCCTCACTGAATTCTGAAGACTTCCCCATTATTAGACTCCTGATACATAACCCAAAAGGGGTGGACTGAAAGTGTGACCTGGCTGGAGAGCTGAGTCACTAAAAGGACAGACTGCTGCAGGGTGGAGCTGTAGTAAGAAAGGGGTCTTCCTCTTGGGCATCCAACTTGCCACACCCCTGCACGGCCACTAGGCAGCACTGGTGGTGAGCGTTCCCCTTCCCAGAGAGAAGGAATTTGAACAGGAGTATCCAGCTCTCAGGAGAGTGATCTAACCACTGAGATATTCCGATTTGGGCTTTTTTCAGTCTCTCCTATTGATGCTGTTCTACTGTGTATAAACAATGAAATAGCTATTGGAACAGGGGGACTGCACCCTCAGTCTCCCACCTCCCAGGTGGGTGTGCTAAACCCCTGGACTTCACTCTGTGGTCCAATGACTCTGTACTTATCCAAGGTGCAACGGCTACAACAGGACAGATTGAGGGAACCCCACATCAGAATATCCTATAGCTCAGAATTAGAACACTCTTCTAAGAGGTGTGGGAGATCCCTGTTCAAATCCTCTCCCTCAGGCAGATGGGGGAATTGAAAGACTGTCTCCCACATGAGTTCTATAACCACCGGTCTAAAAAGTATAAGGTGGGTGGCACTACCACCTCCTGCCATCTCCCTCCATTTGTACAGAGTAAGGCAGGCCCCTAACTCATTCCTTCAAGAAATGGTTTCATAGATTCCAAGGCCAAAAGGGACCACTGTGCTCATCCAGTCTGACCTCCTATAGAACACAGACATAGAACTTCCCCAAAAGAATTCCAAAGCATATCTTTTAGAAAAACATCCTATCTTGGTTTAAAAATTGTCCAACATGGAGAATCCATCACAACCCTTGGTAGATTGTTCCAATGGTTAATTTCCCTCACTGTTAAAATGTGCAGCTCATTTCCAGTCTGAATGTGTCTAGCTTCAACTTCCAGCCATTAGACTTTGTTGTACTTTTCTCTGCTACACTGAAGAGACCATGATTAAATATTTATTCCCTATGTAGGTACGTATAGTCTGTAATCAAGTCACCCCTTAACCTTTGGCATTAACTGCAGTCTTTCTGATTTTTTTAATTAAAATGTTGTGTGGCACCAAGTCAAACACCCTACAGAAGTCTAAGTCTATTATGTCAACACAGTTACCTTTATCAATCAAACCTGTAATCTCATCAAAAACATATCAGGTTAGTTTGACAGGATCTATTTTCCATAAATCTATATTGATTGGCATTAATTATATTACCCTCCTTTAATTCTTTGTTAATCAACTCCAGGAAAAGGGGACCCAGCTGTGGATTATTAAGAGAGATAAGCGCCTAAATCCAGGCTCCAGGGAAGCACCTATCTCTGTAAGAGTGGTAGGGTTTAGCACACACCCTGGTCATTGGCTTCTCCCATTGGTTACATGCTGGCTTTGTGGTTCGCATGCTAGGACACCTATCTTTCCCCAGGCTTTGTGGATCCCATTGTTGTTCCATTGATTTCCTAGGTGCCTAAAGTTAGGTGCCACAGTGTCTAGCATCCATTTGGGCCTGGATGTCAATCTAAAACATACGCACTAGTTCAACCACATGTTGTTGGGCAAGATGCAGGAGTTACCAGATTTCTTCTATGGCTTGTTATGCAGGAGGTCATGGTCCATGATCAAAATGGTCCCTTTTAGCTTAAAAAAAAAAAATGAATCTTTGACATTCCTGATATTTTAAACTTAAGGTAAAACACCAGCAGGCATTATAAAAAACAAAAGAAAACAAGGATAGCCTTAGAAGTGTTTTCTTTATACGTCAAAAAGAAGCAAAAAAGAGTGAAAAAATGTTTTGAAAAATCTCTTTCAGGTCATTTTTAGCCTCAGGAGAGCGTTAAAGCAGTTGCTGTTCCCTGTGACCATGCGGGCTGAGGGGGGAAAGAGAGGGAGTGCGAGAGAGAGGCCACTGGGTTCCAGTGCCCCACAGTGGTGGGCAAGACTGCTCTCTGCTCTGAGGGTTTTGGATGATTGGACATTCAAATCCAAAGAGTTGTCAGCACACAAATTACAACCACAATGTACTGTTTCATCAACTGCAATGCATTCAGAACTCCTCTCTCTCTCTGTGGCCTGGTGGCTCTGGTGATGGGTAGACAGACAGACTAATGGTCTTTCATTCTGTTCTGGTCTCGTGACATCACTGTTGCTGAACAGCGTTACATCAGAGAAACTGTTCAGTACTGTTGATGGCTGTACAGATCTCTCAGCATTCTCAAGAACCATCTCTGATGCTTTTCCTTTAAATGCAGTTTGCTAATAAATTACAAGTCTTGATATTCTGTCTGTTTTAACAGTACATTGAATGTGCAATAACTTGACAATGGTTCAGTTATAGGAAAGCAGTTAAATGTAGTTAATTCCTTTAAAAATCATACCAGCCAACCTGTGAGTTATGCAGAAACTTTCCTCCTCTGTCAGCAAAAACCAGCAGACTAACAGGCCAGAGACTCATCACAAGTAAATTGGCAGAGCTCCTTTGAAGTCAGAGGAGCTACACCAATTTACATCAGCTGATGGTATAACTCCTGAGTCTGTTTCTCCTCCCCACCTTACTGTAAATGGATGTGTAGAGCACCTAGCCCAGTGTTTCTCAAATGTGGCCACCGTGATACTTGTATGTTTGTTAATATCACTTTTCACAACAGACTTACTAGCTAGCAATAAATAAATTACAATGATTTGGACGTGTATATGTGCATATTTATTTGGTTTTCCTAAAGCTAATTAAGTATTTTAGGAAAAAGTGAGAGAGCAGCCACCAGCCAGAGTTGGTGGCCGCATTCTGAGGCCACCAAAAAATGTGTCCTGAGAACCCCTAGCCTACCAAATTGACTCTGCCCACTACTACACTGATAGAGGACTGAGCTCACGAATGCCAAGTATATAATAACCTGCCTTTAATGGATGCTAAATCCACTTTTGACCACAGTGGAAGGTGGGGAGAGAGTTTAACCCTCTAATTTCTACTCATGCTTGTAAAGGGACTCTGAACATTTAAGATCTTTAATACTCACAGGTTTGAGGAGCAATGGCTTCATCCGGGTGTGTTGCATTTCTGAAACCTTTCGATGAAGCAGATCAAATTTCTTATCCAACTTCTGAATGGCATCATACATGGCCTGGCAATAAATGTGAAAGTTAATGGAATTTTTCTACTTTTACAGGAACAGTAAATAAAAAGCACTACATTTAAATTTGACAAAAGCAAGGAAGTCTCATTAAGGTTGAAGTTCCTTCCTTAATTTCTGTCTAAACTTTGCAGCAGTTCAGTGGATAATAAATACACTTTGTAAAGTGAATTATACGCTGATTTACTTATGCACCACAAGGAAAGATAACCGCATGGTAAATTTCAAGCTTGAAAAAGCATGCTTCTTTTCGAAGATCTAATTTCAGGGAAAGACTTACTCTTGCTGTTTTAACATCCTCCTGCACATGACTGGAATTGAAAGGTTGTTCTTCCTACTGCATCTAATATACAATTGATTTTTATCTAATATAATGGTGCATTTTATTTCACATTAAAGAGATATCAAGCAAACTTGGAAGTAGACTAGTGGCACAAGAAGAATTATTATGTGTTATCTGAAGTGTCATACTACTTTTAAATCAGAGGCTTAACACTACTTTACGGGTAGTTAGAGACCTTTAAAAATAGAATTATATATTTTTCAAATACTTGGCTAAGATACTGATAAATAGCTCACAAGGTATTGATTTCTATATCACTAATGGGAAATATACCTTGGAGGAATATGTATTCCAAAGTAAAATGACAAGTGTATGTGATCTAGAGAGCAACAGTTTCAGCTCCAAGCCTCAAAATGATTATAATGCTGAAGTCAATTGCACACCCATTGATTACACTCAAGGGAAAAAAACACAAACAGAATTTGAAAAACACTTATTTGGTTGAAAATACCCAGAACATTTTGGCTGATTTTCAGTCTTTTTTTCAAGCTCAGCAATTTGAGTCCCCCAGAGATTTAAAAATTGACTTTGCCTTACTTCGAGAATCAGATATGAAGGTTTTAAAGTAACGTTACTGTAAAGACCCCAACATTTCATAGACATAAGAGCCATGTAAATCAAACTGGAGTTCAAAGGCTAACAGCTGTCCATATATACAACTTAGGAAATCACACATCTGAACAATTTTGTCTACTATTATTACAAGTAACACATAAGGTTACTGAACTAAATGAGAAACAAGTTGTGTTTTCAGAGTGTATGGTGAGTATCACTGTTGCCAAAGCACAGTCAGTTTCTGCTGCTTCTTGTGTGGTTCTGTCACAACAACAACTCTGGAGAGAAAGACATTTTTAAAAAGAATAGAAAATGTGGCTATAAAACCAAAAAAACTGACAGGGCAGGTGAAAAATCTGAAATTACTTTCAAATTTTAAAAATAAAATTAACTAGATTTCAAGTTGATGGTTTCGCTTTAGTAACAACTGACCTGCATATAGATAGATTCCAAAGCACCATGAAATGCCTCAGCATAATAAGGTGAAATAAAAGCTTAAATTGTTGTGTATTAAAAGCAAAGTACAATGACCTCATCACACAGCCCTGGTGCAAGCAGTAAGGCATACATGACATTAATTAACATTTAGCCGTAAGTCACTCCAGAAGGAGATGCTCCCTAAGGGACAGAGGGCCAACCCATTACTTTCAGAAGTAGCCCTACTATAACTGCTCACCTGTATGAGTAAGATATTCATTTAGTTTTATCTTCACTGATGCAGTTATTCAGCTTGCCAGTTACTACTCCAGATAACATAAGCAATAAATTCTCCTAATTCAGCCTGAATAACAAGACTCTGAATAAGGTAATATTCTAAAAACAAACCTCAGATGCCTTCAAAATCTATATGCCAAACGTTTCCCATTTCCTTGCAATTCCTTGAAGTAAATCAATGGACTCTGTATTACATATGCTGTATTAATACTGACCTTTGGAGACACACTCACGCTGATTACATTGTAAAAGGCTCAGTGGCTGCATATAAAAACGTCAATCAAAAATAAGCAAACTGCATTTGCAGTTAAGTCAAGTGACGTTTATAGAAATGAACAACTGGGTGCAATAGAGTTGCAAATTGATGTTACAGTGGCATATATACCAGGGATAAAAGCGTGACATAATTTTGCCTTGTTTTTTGCAGAGGGTTATAAACTATTTCAAAGAGAAAAATGTGGTACCTGACAATAGTTGAGGACTTCCATAAGGGTTTTCTGCTGATCTCCTGTGTAGGACGCTTCAGACACAACACTTCCCTGTTTCATTCCAAAATAAAGAAGCTAAGCTGAAACTTAAAATCATCATGCTTTGCAGCCAGAAACATATACAGAGAAACACCCAGCTTTAGGATCTCATATCATGTTAAAAAAAACAAAAACTGTTTTTGTAATGAACCCCCAAAGCAACAGTCATTACCAATAAAAAAAAGTGACTTACACATTCATAATCTGGTTCATATTCATAAATGACACTTCCACCATCTTCATATTCTGTTTCCCTGGATCTTATCTAGAAAAAATATTAAGAAACATGTAAAATTAGGAATAATCACAGAATACAAGGCATAAAACAGTCTAGATTGGGGTTCTCAATCTTTTTCTTTCTGAGGCCCCCCAATATGCTATAAAAACTCCACAGCTCAGCTGTGCCACAGCTATATGCTTTTCTGCATATAAAAGTCTGGGCCAGTGTTAGGGGGTAGGAAGAAGGGCAATAGCCCGGTGCACCATGCCACAAGGGGCCCTGTAAAGCTAAGTTGCTCAGGATTCAGCTTCAGCCCCAGGTCAGGGGGCGGGGCTCAGAGCCCCAGGCTTCAGCACCATACAGTGAGGCTTCAGCTTTCTGCCCTGGGCGCCAGCAAGTCTAATGCTGGCCCTGCTTGGAAGACCCCCAGAAACCTGCTCGTGGCCCCCCAGGGGCTCCCGGACCCCTGCTTGAGAACCACTGGTCTAGCGGACTTATATATTTTTTCAGAACCCAAGGCATTGGCTTAATATATTAGGGGTAGCAACTAATGAGGAGGATGTTTTCAAACACAGCAGATTAATATATATTTGTTCTAGTATTAGGCACACCATAACTGTGACATATAAGTTTTCAAGTCAGTTTTCCTTTATAAGGATTACAAATAGTTTAAAATAAAATATACATACATATCCATGTACATTTTATTGACACTTGAGTTTATTAAAAAGTAAAGAAACAAAATCTACATTATTTTTCACATCTTGTAAGGTTTACTTGCTGCATGTCTCTCAGCTAGGTCAAAGCTACTCAATTTCACTTTTGTTTGTAGTCAGTTATTAGTCAATATCACTTTCAATTACTTATGTACTAAAACACGTGGAAAAGTGTTTAGGCTGCAGTGAATGGTTATTAAAAAAAATTCACTGCAATTTTAAAAAATTGAAATCTTTCCACTGACTGTTTCGCAAAAACTTATTTTTTTTTTACAACCAAGGCCTTGCCAATAAGTAAACTGGTTTAACTTATATCAGTTTTTATATAGATTTAGTTAGAACCAGTGCAAAATCATGTTAGATGTTCTTATTTTGGTATATCTTAAAACTGTTCTTATATCAATTTAAATTGTTCTAATCAATTTAGTGTATTATTTGTATTTTGGTAAACCCTAGAAGCCAGGGCCCCATTGTGCTAGACACTGTACAAACATCTGTCAGGTTTAATATTAATTTAAGAATGTCTGCAAAGCCTTTTGTGATGGTTTAAATGAGTCAATTTAAAAGTCACACGTTTGTTTAAATCAGTGCATCTTTGCTTGCAGACAAGCCCTTATATGTTGGGGTAAACCTGATCTGACACTGGGTGTCCTTGTACTCCTGAAGCACTAATGCTCTTTGGCATGGCTCTTGGAGCCGTTACTATTGCTATGTAAGGATGTGGCTGGAGAGTTAAATGGTGGCCTTTCCCATAGGAATATAGGGCTCCATGAATGTTTTCATAACAGAATGCTACTTACTATAGCTAGGAGCAGGCTCTAGGTTATGTGATGCTAAGGTGGATGTAAAAAATTAAAAATAAAGATCTTTTGTTTAACACAAGCTCTTCTTTCATTAATGTGAAGAACAAAACAGCTAGGGCCTGGTCTCTTCTTGAAGAAAGACCATTTTAAGTAAAACAGCAGACACAACAAAACATGCAGGTAACATTTAAAGAGCCCATGGAAGTGCCTCTTCAGAGGCTAGGAGAAAGAGGATATGTGTACACTGTTATTAAAAACCTGTGGCTGGCCCATACCAACTGACTTGGGCTCTAGGACCCTGTGAGGTGGAAGGGTCCCAGAGCTTAGGCTGTAGCCTAAGCCCCAATATCTACCCTGCAATTAAACAGCCCTGCAGCCTGAGCCCTTTGAGCCCAAGTCAGCTGGCACAGGCCAGCTGCCAGTTTTTAACTGCAATGTACACATGCCTATAGTGTCCCTTGTTATATGAAAATTTCCTGTAGAATCAACAGTGCCACCCTGTGGAGAAAGAGACTTAAAAAATTTAAAATAAAGATGCTCATTTTACTTGTAAGCTGTGAGAAGCCCTTCTTGCCCAGCATAAACTATTTTGCATTTGATTTTTTTTAATTACACCAAATTTCTGCCAGACTACTCAAATGAAAAATGATATAATGTGTAATACTGTCAGAGTTCAAATATAATCTGGCGCCCTGTTTTAGTACTGACGAGACCACTTTGTTGATATTTAAAATGTAAACTTTTTCTCTTTTATGTTCTTCAGCTGGCCATTAAAGCATAGCTCCATGCTATGAACCAAGTTCTGCCCATAGACATGCATCAATGTGAGAGCTGCGTGATCTATTTTTGGACATAGTTTGCCCAATGATTTGCCCATCGGTCAACAGGTAAGGAAGGATGATTGGTATCACTCCATCTAGAAACCTGTCGGAAAGGAAGGAAGTGTCCCTAATGCATCCTTCTTTTTAGAAGAATATGAGCTTGCATGTCAAAGGTTTGCATGCAGGACCAACCCTTAGATTGTCAGCTTTTCAGGAAAGGAGCTGTCTCTTCCTCTGCGCATGTACAATGCCTAGCAAAATGGGGCTCCAACCCTTATAAAAGCCTCTTGACACTAATGTAATACAAATAATAATAATCCACAAAAGGGGGAAGTATATAAGACAATTCTCTCACATAAGAACTGGAATTGCTAATATCAGTGCAATTTGCCTGAAAAAGCAGAGCAAGTGTTTGTTTAGATACACATACCATGCTATTTCTCACCAGAGAGGGGGTAAGTCGTCGTCTTTTATGCAAAAAAACATACTCCATTTCTTCTGGGTTCTGACCATCTCTCTGCACACTTGTAGAATGGCTCATCTGTGACACCACTGGCTCACTCAGTACTGACAAACCTTCCCCTCCTATAAAAGCCAAAGTTAAAAGAAACCACGTTAGAAAACTCCTCCCACTGAATTGACAGGAATTGTTTCAGGGAAATTCTATGGGCTGTATTATACAGGAGGTCAGACTAGATGATCACAATGGTCCCTTTTGGCCTTGGAATCTAGGAATTAGACATCTGTCATGAAAAGCAAGAATAATAGCTTATTTTTAAAAAACTTCAGCATCCTGGCCATTTAAGATTAATTACTATCTAACTATCAAGCACTAAATTACTTGCTCATTTTATCCTCTAATTAGATTTTATTAAACTTTATTCCTTCCAATTCCTCCTCAAAATGCATTTCATTTGCCATACTTTCCATTGTTGACTTTCACTCCTGAGTTACCCATGCCTCTTCTTGCCTTATCTCATTCTTCATTTAAAAACTCCCACACAACAAAAATCTATGAATTAGAATTTAAACACATTGTTCACAATGCGATACAGAACTCACCATTCTCTGTATTTGCTTTACTCTCATCTCTCCCTTCCCTAAGTATTCACTCCTTTTATCACCTTCAGTTTTTGAGTGTGTTTCTCTCTGTGAAGAGCCGTGCAAAGAAAAAGACCTGGTCCTAATCCCTGCCCCAAAAAGTTGACGATCTAGAGCAAACTAACTGATGTTGTTTGATAAACATTTAATAGCAAAACTGTACATCTGCAAACAAATACTTGACATTGGCCAACTACCATTTTAACACTTTTACATAACTAAATTAAGTTTGCCTGCGATTGACAGAAAAAAAAAAAAAAGTTACTGCTTCTTGAACGAGAATCATATGTCAAATTTGATCCTAAACTTTACAACTAAGTAAGAGGGCCAGATCTTCAGCCCATCTCAAGTCTCCTTTGAACTGGCACAAAGGGAATTAAAAATAGGGACAGGAAGGAGGGGCTGGCAGGTGATGTGATCCTGGCTGGCAGCATTGCTCCTTGAGAGCTGCTATCTGCCAGGGCAAGATAGAGCATAATCATCCCCTTGTTATCTTGTGCTACCTTGTTGGGTTTTTTTGTATTTCACCTACTGGCTCTCATCTTATACTTATCAGAGGGGTAACCGTGTTAGTCTGTATCCACAAGAAAAACAAGGAGTCCAGTGGCACCTTAAAGACTAACAGATTTATTTGGGCATAAGCTTTCGTGGGTAAAAAAACCCAATTCTTCAGATGCATGGAGTGAAAATTACAGATACAGGACAGGCATAAATATATTGGCACATGAAGAGAAGGGAGTTATCTTACAAGTGGAGAACCAGTACATAGGTTGTAAGCTGTTTGGGAAAAGGACTCTCTTTTTGTTATGCATTTGTACAGGGCCTAGCGCAATGGGGCGGCCCTGATCTCCCATTGCGATCCCTAGCGTCTATTGATTTACAAACAAATAATTATTAATATACACGAGGCTCTTTCAACTTGCAACAAGACTCGGGGTGAAATGGAGAAAAGAGTGTAAAGTCACCTGATGCACCAAGTGCTGCTTGAGGGCACTTGGGGATCTAGCCCATAAAGTCCAGAAACACAATTTAAACTAGTATGGGTGGCTTGCAACACAAGCAATGCAAAATACTGCTTCTCTCTCTCTCTCTCTCTCTCTCTCACACACACACACCACCCCCTCCTGCTCTGCACGACTCAGCAAATCATAGGCCTAACCAATTTCACCTCTCAGGCAGTGGGAATGTCTCTCACCTCTTCATTCTGACCTTACTTCTTCCCTTCTAGCAACCTGAGGTCCCACAAATCATAAGAAATTCCTGTATGATGGAAGTTCTGTCATGTCTCCAACTACATCATCAAAAACAATGACACTACAATTACATACAAATTCTATGCTAAGGTTGCAAAGTCAAGCACTGAAACGGTATGACATGCCAGATTAAGACTGTCCATACAGATGGAATTTTTGGAAACTTTGCAGCAACCCTTTAGCAAATTCTACTGAGCATCTGCAAATGGCAATTTCCAATGGCTTGGAACTCTGGCAAATCTTCATGGATTTTCATAGGGAAAGCGAAAGGCACATCTCAGCCTCCAAGCCTATTCTCCTGCCAAATTTCCAGTTCCTGCCTCAAACCCTGAAAGTAGAAGAACTCTTTAAAGAAAAAGCTCTTAAAAGAAACAGCTGGAGGCAAAAAAATTAACAGAATTACTTATTTCTGTCTAATTTTATTATTTGTATTACTGTAGCACCGAGGAGCCAGTCTGGACCAGGACCCCATTGTGATAGGAGGTGCTGTAAACAAAGACAGTCTCTGCCACAAAGGTCTTACAATCTAATTATAAGACAAGAGGTGACAGATAGATAGATAGATACAGACAAACTGATGGGGGAGTACAAGGAAACAAAGAGACAATATTGGTTAGCATGATAGGCAGTGGTCTCAGCACACCAGCATTGCCAATCTTTTTGCAGGAATCATGGCAAAAAAAGAGTTTTAAGAAGGGATTTGACAGAGAACAATGAAGTGGCTTTGCAGATGTTTATGGGGAGCTGCTCCCAAGCATGGAGCAGCATGGAAGAAAGAAGAAAGATACTTGTTTGAAAATTTAACAAGTGGACAATAGACACTAGCAGCATTGGCCAATCTGAGGCAGAAGTCAACATCTTGATAGTGAATGAGAGATGATAGGTAGAGACAGGATAGAACATGAAGGGCTTTGTAAGTGCAAACAGGGCCTAGCACAATGGGGCAGCCCTGATCTCCCATTGCGGTCCCTAGCGTCTATTGATTTACAAGCAACAGTTTATGCTTGATGCAATAAAGAAAGGGGAGCCAGTGGAGTGATACGAAGATAGGAGTGATATGGTCAAAGTGATGGACTAGGAGAATTCTCTTTGTAGCAGCAGTCTGAATGGATACCAGAGGGGTAAAACTGCATTTGTCAAAGCCAGAGAGAAGGACATTGCAGTAATTGACAAGTGAGATGATGAGCGTTTTAGCAGTGTGAAGGGATAGCAAAGGTCATATTTTAAAGATGTTATGCAGAAAAAAACAACAATATCTAGACATAGCCTAATGCGAGGACTTACAGAAAGGTCCAAGCTGAAGATAACAGCTAGGTTACGGGCCTGAATGACAGGCAGGATGGTGGTGTTGTCCACAATGATCAAGAAAGGAGGTGGTGGTGGTGGGGAGATTAAGAACTCTGGTTTAGCCATGTTGAACTTGAGCTGATAGCTAGATATCCTCAAGGAGGTTCAGAGACAGACAGACGGACACTTTAGTTTGGACAGAAGACAGGTCTGGAGTGGAGAGGTAGATCTGTGAGTTGTCAGGGTGAAGATGGTAGTTGAATTTGCAGATGAGATTACTCAGAGATAAGGCATAGTACGAGAAGAGAAGGGAACCAAGGACAGAACTCCCAGAAAATAAGTTAATTCTTGAAAATGGCTGAACCACTTTTGCTGAAACTTTATTAAAAATATATCAGCTTAATGCAGAGAACAAACATGGACAATTTCAGTCCAAATGGTTAAGTCTGGAAAAGTTATTTTGATGCTGACAGACCAGGTGCCAGCTCATGCCAAAGACCCAGGGCCTCAGGGAACACTGACAAATGCATAGCTTTTAACCAGTCCGACTTACCTGCGGGTTAGCATAGTTAGAAATAGACATTGGGGTTATAAGAATGTGTTTAGACTTTATGGAATGCTTGTAGGATGCTACATGTATTAATCCTAATTATACTATCTGTATCTCATGGTATAAAGCTATATTGAATTGTAAACCTCTTTAATTGCGTTGTAAACCTCTGTAATTGTGTAACTCACCAAACAGGAAAAGCAGCATTAATGAAGGTAAAGTGCTCGTCCTGCACACAAGATGGCCCAATGAAGGCAAATGAGATATTGTGTAGCATCAAAGGACAGAGACCTTCTTGATTGCATTCCTCACTCCCTCCAGGAAGGGAAGGCGTGTGCATGAACTCATCCCATCAGCTTGGATTCTGGAGTGAAGGGGATAAAAATGCCTGACAAGGAGAAACTGGGTCTCTTTTTGCGGTCTGGACTCTAAGAGGCAAAGATTCCTAAACATAAGGAAGAGATCCCCATGTTGCTCAGCTTGGGTGAGTCCTAAAGGATGTATAGAGCTGCTTATTATAGAAGCTTATATTACCTATTTAAATCTAAGACTGTAACTCATTTGTGTGTATGCTTCCTGTTTTAACCTTGTAAATAACTATTTCTTTGCTTAATTAATAAATCTTTGGTTAGTTTATTACAGGATTGGCTACAGGCATTGTCTTTGGTTTGAAACCTGAATACAACTGACCTGAGGTAAGTGACTGGTCCTTTCAGACTGGAGTAACCTGAATATTGCTGTGATTTTTGGTGTAAAGTGACCATCTATCACATAGTCCAGCTTGCCTGGATGGCAAGATATACTGGAATGCCCAAGGGGACTGTCTGTGACTCGATGTTAAGACTGTTACAGTACTTTAGGAGTTCATACTTGTTACTGGGTTGGTGAAATATAATTATAGAAAATACAACCAGTTTGGGGATTCTGCCCTTCTTTTCGACAGTCTGCCCTGAGGCTGGCGCTCTCAGTTGTGAGCCGCTCAAGACAACATGACAGTTATCAGCTGAAAACAGGGGCTTTTAATAGTAAGTGCTGGACACCCTCAAATGTAATAGCTGCCAACTCTTACTATGACAGCATTCTTTAAAAGTTCCTTACTTGCTTTAAAAATAACAACACCCACCCACCATTTTGGGGGGTGGGGGTGGGAGAGGCCTCACAAAATGATCATCATGTTTCCTCTGCTGATTCTGAAATAATAGTTAAATTATCCTCCCAGACTTGGGCTGACATCCATCTGTGACTACTGGTTCACAAACAGATGACCTGGCATGTTTGTTCTGCTGTATTAGAAAACAAAACAAAACAAAATACCCCTCACTATAGCTGGGGAGAGATGAGGAAAAGAAGAGAGAGGGGATATCAATGTGTTTTCAAGTGGAAATCTACAAAAACCAAGAAAACTTTACTGTCAAGCAGAAAACAATAGAAAACAACAGTGTCAGTGTTATGAAACATGGGAGCTGGCTTGGATCCACTGAAGAGCTATCCTGACAATAATCACTGTAAATAGTTGCTTGTGTTTAGGACCCTTTTATACGATGCTTGTTTCGTCCATTTCCCATGCATAGTTGGTAATTTTGCTTTTTTAAAAATGTTTTGCTGAACACACTCAACAAATTTAACTGCCTAAACACACATACTACCTTCATGGCATCTTGTATCCAATAGTAAGCAAGCAAAGTTTCTCAAGACTACAACCCAATTCTCCCCCAGCTAGAGTTCAGAACATTAAAGGGTGCCTACAGTTGGCAACACCCCAACTTAAATGACCACTTTACTAGAATAGTGCATACAAGAATTTTCATTGTATTCCAATTAATTTAGCTAAATGCCACACCTACTGGGCAGCCAGGTTTCTCTGGTCTTGTTTTTTCCCCTCCAAATTACACACTAATCTTCTTACAACGGATTCCACACCTCTACCCCGATATAATGCAACCCGATATAACACGAATTTGGATATAATGTGGTAAAACAGCACTCTGGGGGGCAGGGCTGCACGCTCTGGTGGATCAGCGCGTCAGGCTCCAACACGCTGCTCTGAATGGCATGTTAAGGGTACCGGTCTGGGGGGTTGGATAAGGGGCAGAGGCTCTCGGGGGGGGGTCAGGGGGGGGGGGGGGGGGGTTGGATGGTTCGCAGGTTCTGGGGGTGGGGCAGTCAGGGGACGGGGAACGGGGGCGTTGGATACGACATGGGAGTCCTGGGGGTGATTAGGGACGGGGAGGGTCTCTAGAGGGGGGCGGTCAGGGGACAAGGAGCAGGGGCTTAGATAGGGGGTGGGGTCTTGGGAGGGGTGGTTAGGGGCGGGGGGTCTCTGGAGGGAGCAGTCAGGGGACAAGGAACGGGGAGGTTGAATGGGTCGGTGGTTCTGAGGGGTCAGTCAGGGGACGGGAAGTAGGTGGGGATCGGATGGGGGCGGGGCCAGGCTGTTTGGGGAGGCACAGCATATTGCATACACCGTGTTAGCTCTAACAAAAATGATTTGCTGACTATTAATAATGGAAATGCTCGAGGCCAAAGCAAGTTCGATATAACGCGGTTTCACCTTTAACGCGGTAAGATTTTTTGGCTCCCGAGGACAGCGTTATATCGGGGTAGAGGTGTATTTGAAATAATGAATTCCTATGTATATGTGAGAAAAACAATTCTTAAACCTTATTATTGAGATCACCACTAACAGGGAAGATCCTTAAGGGGAAACAGATTCTAAAGTTATTTGTTTTAAACTATACTATCAAAGCTATTTAATAAGTAGCTTTTTTAAGGTTTTAGAGTCACACACACAACAGAAAAAGTAATGGGGAATATAGTGTTAAAGATACAATCACTGAGCACTCTGCCAGAAGGATGGGCCATAGGCATTAACTCTCAGAAGAAATTAAGTGTATTTACCATAAGCAAGTTGAGTCATGTAGTGATCATCACTGTTTACTTGAGCATTTTGTTCCACTGACACGCAGCCTTGTGTGGACAGTCCATTTTCTGCATCTTCTATTTCAGAATTTTCAATTATCACAGCTTCAACATCATCCTCAACTCTCACAGAAACATAATCTAAAAGCATGTACAGAAAGAAAGAGAAGTCTGGACACCATTCTGTATACCATTCTAATGGCAGTAGCAAATTTACCAAACCTAGTATTACCCACTTATTTGAACTGTACAATAGCTTAGCTGTAATTAAACTGAAATTTGAGTGTTTAAGATTTAAGTCATCTTCCAAGACATGCATTGTGATTCTAAGTGATATTAACAAGGGAGAAGGTTACAAAGCACTTTGGGTGAGATTTTAAAAAGCACTTAGCATCGGCCTAACTGTTTCTACAGACTAGGAACTGTTAGGCCCCGTGAGCACCCTTTATGTTTATACTTAATGGCACTGAAATTGGAGAACCATTGAGAAAATATAATTACAAAGAGCTAGGCTTAATACTATCAAAGTAAATCAGTTCACAATTCCATGCGTAGTTGTTATATTATGGTAGCATTTGAGCCCTAACAGGAATGAGGTCCCAATATGAGAGTCACTGCAAACATACAGAAAGACAAAGGTCCTGTCCCGAAATGCTTACAGTCTAACTGTAACATGCCAAATGTTGACACAACCACAGTAAATGCTCTGGGTTCAGAATGTTTGCACTGCAGCTAAGTCTGGCATTTCCTTTATTTTGAGAAAACACTTTTTAAAAAATTACATGCTATGTTAAAGGAACAATAAGACTATAAGATCAAGCACTGAAAAGTTAGGAAGAGTCAGAATTCAGGCTGCTTGTGCAACTATAACTTAGCCTCCTGGTGCATATGTATTATGATACTATCTTTAGCCGCATGCTGTTTTTCCACAGGACCCCTACCTGATTCAGTACATAACATGGACTGTGCTCTGGGAATGAATCTACTGCCTTTCCTCTTTGCTCCTATCCAATTACTCTCCCACACTCAGTTTTCTGATCAGACCAAAAATGGGATATAGAGCCTTTTCCCATCAGGTCTTTAAAAAGCTCTTCAATAACATAGTTTGAGCCTATTCACTCAGGCAAGACCAGATCCTATTCTAGCAGCGTTTGGGCACTATCACATTATGACACATTGACTCAGCATGTTAAAGGTCCTTTCAGAGAGGTACTTAAGCACATGAGTAATACCGCAAGAATCAATGGGATTACAGCTATGCTTAAATTAGGCACTTGCTTAAGAGGCTGGCTGAATTGGGGCATTGTATATATAGAATAGGTGTGTGCTATTATTAATATATATATAAACAAACAAACGGGTGGCCAAACTGTGGTTCCAAGCCACATGTGGCTCTTTTACAGTTAAAGTGTAGCTCTCAAAGCCCCCTCCACACACACCCATTCTCCACCTACCAGACTTGGGGGGGGGGGGGAGGGTTAGGACCTCTGCCTTGCAGTGGGGTGGTGAGATAGGGGCTTCTGCCCAGAGGGGAGGGGGATCTCAGGGCTTCAAACCCACAGGGTCCACCTGCTGGGGCTTGGGGCTTCAGCAGGAGTAGGGCTGAATCCCCGAGCCCCGGCAGGTGCCTCCCAAGGCGCTGAAGCCCCAACTCCTGGCAAGTGTACTCCGGCTCTCAAAGTTCTGAATATTGTCATATGCGGCCCAGCAGGCCAGTAAGTTTGGCCACCCCCAATATATAAAATAATAAATTGTCTGCAGCTTAGACAGGTAAGTCTGATCTAACGGATATAGCCATAAACTACAGTTTATTTTAAAACTTGTATAATTACAAAACAAACAAGTTGCTGCTAACTTGCTTGTCTGTTGATGCCAACAAAATAATTATTCCTCAGCACACAGATGCATAAGAGAGGCTGGAAACTTTCACAGCTGTTTTAAGAAATATTTTATTTATTGAATTTTGTGTTAAAAATAGTTTCATATGAAATAATATAGACATACATCTTTCCCAATAAACTGACTTATTTAAAAAAAACAACTGTGGAAGTTTGCAGACATCTGCAGATCAGCCCTTCCTATCTCTCAAATTCTGTCAACAATTTGGACTTTTTGCTGGAAAGTGGCAGTAAAATGCAGCACTCAATGAGATATCTGAACCACTCAGTTATGAGGAACCTAAAACAATGACATGTATTTCTAGAAAAAGGAAGTGTATTTTGAATATTCAGTATAGTCTGCCACTATAATCTCACTATTTTTACTAAGTGTCCATTTAGCTGACCACAGCAGTTTTAGTTCAAAGGGAAGACTTGATAAAGAAACAAACCCCTTTGCAATTTTAGAGGGAATTACTATTTCTGCTGTTTTTGGCATTCTTTGAGATGCTTAATAAAAAACAAACTCAAAGTGTCATTAACACTCCTGATCTGTTATTTAAACCATGAATGCTTACCAGTAATGAAATGCTCGTTGAGAAATCCTGACTGCTGATAGCAAAGATCTAATGGTAAGACTGGTGGCCCATGGAGTTCATGAGCAATGGAAGAGACCTAGCAATTGGGTAACGTACTACAGGCAGTTGTTGGGGGGGGGGGGGGGGGAGAGGAAGGATGGAGAAGTTGAGGATCCAGAAAATCAGGACCACTTTTTAATTTAGGATTCTGGTATAAAATGCATATATTGATATAGACTTGATTAAATGCCAATGTCATCTAATACTACAGAGTTTTTAAAAAGTAAAGCGTAGTATTAGTTAAATACTGGATATGCCCTCTATCGGGGCACACTTTCCTACATCAGCAGAAGAAATGAACCTCATAATTTAATAGATCACTTCCACTTTTAAGTACCACGGTCATATAGTCTAAAAGAAAAATGTTTTGCCTATTCAGGTTAAAATATCCACGCCTTCAAAATCTTAGTACAAAAGAACATTTCAGATATATATTTACTCACAGCAGTATCTATAAAAAAAACCTTCTCTTTATAAATGTTTGTGCTCTTTTTGGTGCTCTTAAAAATGCCATGTAACATGCCCCACACAGAAACTAGAATTAAGCCACCAAAATCTTTTTAATTTGTGATACAAACCAAGATTTTAATCCAAGTTCCTGGGAGCAATAGCTAGAGCATTAACTGACTAAGTTATCCAACTCCACAATCAACATAAGTACGATCATACTGGGTCAGAGCAATGGTCCATCTAGCCCAGTGGCCAAATGCCATGTGCTTCAGAGGGAATGAACAGAACAGATAAGCATCAAGTGATCAAAAAAAATTTTTTTTACAGAGATATTTGTAAGTTTCCAGTAACTCTCTCAAGGAAACAAAAAAATCATAATTAAGAAAAATAGTGTCAAATATTCTTCAGGTTTTGAGTTGCACCTTTACAAGGGAAAAACTACTTTCACCGTAAAATGAAAAAAAAAACATACTGGTGCTTTGCTGCATCATAAATTAAGTATTACAGTAGTAAAGTAAATATATTTAGTGCTACTTCTTTAAATCATTTAACTAGTCATTCCAATGCACCAATAGGCTAACAAAGTTCTGCCTGGAAATGTAATAAAGAGTAAATGTATGTCCAAAGAAAGCTTCAGTCATTTAACTCTTTTCTTGCTCAGAATCAATACATACCCTGGGTTATGCTGTTTAGAAGATGGTCAGTTATTTTCAGTAAAGCAGCAGGACACTATATGCTGTATGACCCTGTGGGATATACAAGTGCACCTCATACTTTGTACGTTCAGAGCACAGGAAGATTATTATAGACAGAGCAGAGCTACACACTGATTAGGACATTCTGTCCCAAGTTTTTGTCAGTTTTGTTTGTTTAATTTAACAACATTTTATGATAATTATTGGTAGTTATTTCAGCACTTTTCAGTACACTATTTATGAAGAACTCTAGTTTGCCTTTGTACAGAACCATCAGAATCTCTGCATGAAAGTTAAAAGCATTTAAAAATGCAGGGCGGCTGCTTCATGATGACTTATATAGAGATAAAACTGTTCAACATCTGACTGCATCAGTAAGATGCATCAAAAATTTTAATATCTTAAGCTATAGCCTATATCTAGCAAGATCAAAATTACTGCTGTCAAAAATTACTATTGTCAGTAGTGACATTTGAACACAAACTCTTACAGAGCCTGGTTTCAACTGAGCAGATGGCTTGCTGACTATTATGTCGCTTTCCTAGTTCATTTTCACCTGCTAGGAGTGCTTCCCAAAGCACTTTGCTCTGCTTGCACCGTCAGTTGGCACTGGTTAAATAACATTTTTCCTCTCACTTTCACCTTCTGATGACATGCCAGTGTGAATTACGAAGTGCACAGCATATGTATATAGTTATTTTTTGGAATACAGAACGCCTGTGTTCTGAAAAATCAGTATATAAATGTGTTGGAACCTGTTTGACATATGGTTTGCTCTGAAATTATCAGGAATGCATATTTTCATGAGAAACAGAATTGTAGCTTCATTCATAAAAGCAAAACCATTATTTGATACAGGTGGGTTTCTCTCCCTCACATACACAGACTTGCATGAATCCTTCATTAGGAAACAATTTTTAATGTGGAGCTCTTCCTTGATTTCTTTCAACTTCTCCCTATACTCATAGGTTTTGTATCAGACTCTTGTCCTTTTGGCTGAGGACAGATGGATATGGCACTCTCTGGAAGCAAACAATACCAATCAAGCTATTTATTACACCAAGAGATGCACAGTATACTAAGATTCTGACATACAAGAGTGCTGGCAAGATATCTATTTCCTGGTCCTAGTCACATGATTACAGTCATATGACAGGGAGTCATTCTTCACTGCCTTTAGGGCTACTTTTGCAGAAGGCACTCTATCTTTCTTAGTCATGATTGCAGAATGATGTCTGCATTGCTTACAGGCTCAGGATCTATTTTCTGATTCTCTTTTTACCAGCATGGTGTACCTATAGAGCAATAACCTATAGAGCAACATTTTTTTTAAAATAGTTACTTGAAGGCTCCAATAGTCTTGTCTGAAAGTTTGTCATTTAGCTTTGGGTCTCCCACAGCTCAACAATTTTTTTGTTTGTTTGTAAAAATTACCACCCCCCCAACCAAACTGTAGCAATGAAAAGCAGAGATAGGGAAATAGTTTAAACAGAGTGGAGAAAAGTGAGATGGATGAAAAAAAGAGGAACACAGTAGAACTGTTGCAAGAAATACACTGCAAAATACACACAAAAATAAGGGGTTTGAAGATTACTTACAAAGAGTTTTGCCACAATAAAAGAGAACAATATGAGGGACTCCCAACACAGCCTGCTCCAGAGCTGCCTAGAGACCCCCTGTGAGAATTGCTATAGAAAGACTCTACAAACTGAAACTTTCCATTTCCTATCACGTCCCATTATAAGACCCTGTTTTTAGTCGCTTATCATTTTGCTAACTTCAAATATTTGCATGGAAATTTTCCGTGGTGAGTGTCTGCCTCTTGCTTAATTTTTTGAGAACATTTCAGTAAAAACAGCTCAGCCATTTCTTAAAACGAGTTTATGGGGAAAAAAAATATGTTTCGCACTTGTGAAAACTTTCTTGCAACTGTTTAAGAAGGTGTAGCCCCAACATGCTTTGAAAAAGGGTCTTGAAATTTGGAAGGGGGCTGCTCTTACAACAGGAATTTGCCTTTTTACTGCCCCCTGAGAAAATCTGCACAAATTTGGCCAAGTTACATGCCCTTGAAAAATCATAGTGTGCACATGCTCAGTACAGACTTGAGAGTTTAGCTACTAAATTCTCCAAAGATCCCATGGGTACTGGCCGTATTCCAGCTTGGGACTGAACAGGACTTCACTTTTTCTGCGACTGTTCCTCCTAGTTACCAGGGGTCACTGGGCACAAAAACAGAGAACAGGGTGACTGACTGTCCCACCTGTGCTCTCAGTGCTCCCCATGTTGCCACCCAGAAGGAAGAAGTCACCTGACTAGAACACAGAAGGTGCGAAGGGGCAAGGGAAAGAGGGGGACATTCAGGTGGGGCAGAAGGGGCAGGCAGGGATAATGGGGTAGAGTCAGATCTGCAACCACTTGGGATTGCGTTAAAAAAAAATTTACGCTGGAAGAAAGTTAAGGTGGCAAATCGAGTTACTCCTCAAAAGCGAAGCAATACCAGCATTAAGGCAGCCTATGGGTGGAGAGGGCAGCATTTCCTGTCCGATTCCCCCCCCCCCCCAACTGGAGGGGACAACAACCCCCCTCTACAGCCCACACACTAGAGGGGGAGAGGGGAGAAGAGAAGGTGAGCTGCACCTCCATTGGCCTGCTAAACCCAGGGTTGTGAGTTCAATCCTTGAGGGTCAGAGGGGTAGCCGTGTTAGCCTGGATCTGTAAAAAGTGCCAAAGAGTCCTCCGGCACCTTATAGACTAACAGACGTATTGGAGCATAAACTGTCGTGGGTGAATGCCCACTTCCTCAGACGCATCCTTGAGGGGGCCATTTAGGGAACTGGGGTAAAAATCGGTCTGGGGATTGGCCCTGCTTTGAGCAGGGGGTGGGACTAGACCCCCTGAGCGCCCTTCCGCCCCTGACACTCTATGATTCTATGTCTATTACCTCCTGGCCCGATTACTCCCTGCTGCGGAGGGGGGAGGGGCGGCATTCGGGTCCCGTTTAACTCCCCTCCCCCAAATCGCACACTCGCGGGGGGCGGCACCTCCCGTCCTGTTCCCCCCCACGCGCGGCTCGGAGCCGCCACAGACAAAGCTCGAGGACGCCCCCTCCTACCCCCTCAAGGCAGGAGGCCACCGCCCACCACCAAGCGCCCCCTCCCTCAAAGCCCCCTCCGCCGCTCGGCCAATGACGCGACTGGCGACGAGCAGACGGGAGGACCAATAGCAACAGCAAGGTTGGTCGGAACCGGCCAATAGGGTGGGGGATTGTGGGCGTGGCTTGGCCGGCCCCGCAAAGAACGTTTGGGTCCGGCCGTTGCGAACGATAGGGGAACGTTTTCTGCACGCGGGCAACTCCGCACGCGGGCGGCGGGGGGGCAGCTAGGCACTTACCCTCCGCGGACATGGCGCCGGCGGGCGCTGCGGGGAGTGTCCCGGCGGACGGGCGGGTGGCGAGCCGGGCTCCGCGCAGGCAGGTGTGGCCGGAATGTGGCGTTGGAAACGGAAGCGGCTTCGCCGACGTGAGCAACAAACTGTTTTGAATCCGCGCGGCTGCGCAGTGGGGACGGGGGCGCGTCCGACAAACGGCGTCCCGCCCGGGAGCGGCCCCTGGAACCATGCGCTCCCCGGAGCCTCGCAGTTGGGGAGAGGCAGCATCTCCCGCCCTGATTAGCCCCACCCGCGGGTAGCAGGCTTGTGGGGAGCGGCCCTGACGTTCCCCATGCCCCTCACACGGGGGGTGTGGGGGGTGTCTGGTCAGTCACAGTCTGCCCCAGGGTGCAGCGTCTCTGCCCTTATCCCTGGCTGGGCGTCGGGCGAGAGAAATGCGGGGGGTGCAGGTGCCCCCCCGCAAGTTTAGGGATACCTGGCGAAGGTTGAGAACAACTGCTTTGGGCCATTGAACTCGCTAATCTATTTGTGTATGATACCAAGGAGTTTGTCTTCTCCATGGCAAGTGGCACCCAAACACTGAGACAAGATTCCTGGATTCTACAGCAAGGCTCTCAACCTCCTTCTTTCCAAGTCTCTGAGGCCCCGCCCCTGCTCTCTCTCCCCCCCCCCCCCCCTACACTGTTGCTCTCCCACACCCTCACGCACTTGCTCATTTTCACTGGTGTGGAGAAGGGGGTTGTGGTGCAGGAGAGGGTACAGGTTCTAGGCTAGGAGTGTAGGCTCTGGTGTGTGGCCAGAAATGAGGAGTTCAGGCTGCGGGAGGGGGCTCTGGGTGGGGGGTAATGGCTCTAAGATGGGGCTGGGGATGAGGGGTTTGGAGTGCAGAGGGAGAGGGTTCCAAGCAGGGGTGGGGTGAGGGGGGCAGGCTCTGGGATGGGACTGGGGATGATGAGTTTGGGGTGCAGAAGGGGATGCGGGCTCTGGGAGGAAGTTTGGGTGCAGGAGGGGGCTCAGGGCTGAGGCCACGGTGTGGGAGGGGGTGTGGGCCTTGGGCGGCTCCCCGGAAGTGGCAACAAGTGCCTAGGTGGAGGGGTGGCCAGGGGGCTTGGCCTGCTGCCTCCATCTGCAGGCACCGCTTCCATTGGCTGTGGTTCCTGGCCAATGGGAGCTGTGGGGTCAGTGCACGTAGTCCCCCCGGCCATGCCTAGGAGTTGAGGGACTTGTCACCGCTTCTGGGGAGCTGCACAGAGCCAGTAGGGAGCCAGCTGGCCCTGCCAACCAGACCTTTAAGGAGCCGCCAGGGTCCCTTTTTAACCAGGTATTCTGGTCGAAAATCGGACGCCTGGCAATCCTAGTGTGCTCATAGTTCCCATGGGAGTGTCTGGTGCCCAATTTTGGCCAGGGGAGAAGGCAGGAGGGATAGGCACAAAGCTGCCACCCTTAGGGTGTTGGAGAGACTAGATGGGCTAGGGAAAATATCTCTTCTTGGACCAACTTCTGTTGGTGAGAGAGGCGAGCAGAGAGATCTGTGACAGTGCATTTCCCAGGCCTGAAGAAGAGCTCTGTGTCGCTCAAAACCTTGTCTCACTCACCAACAGAAGTTGGTCCAATAAAAGATATTGTCCCTCACCTACCTTGTCTCTAATATCCTGTGACCAAAAGGGTTACAACACCATTGCATATAACCCTTAGGAGACTGACACCTACAAACTCACCCTGTTCGGCCCTCAGCCTTGCTTCCAGTCTCTGCATTTCATGTGTGAGCAAGCTCTTCCCTCCGAACCTCCCTGACAAGAGGGGTGTGGCAAAGAGATGGGACCAGTGTGAAGGAATGGAAGAGAGACCCAAGGAAAGTAGAAATGAGTGAGGTGAGACTGGCAAGATAAAGGTGAAGAGGAGAAAGGAGGGAATGGGAACATGCTGAAGTTAAAAATAGAGGAGACACAAAGGGAGTATGAGTGACATGTCAAACTTTAAACCATGAAAACAGGCAAATTTAGTGTGAGGCAGCCTCAGTCATAAACACTACTGTAATATAAGTAATAATAGTCTAGTATTCTGTCTATGACAGTGGTCAGTACCAGATAGTTCAGAAGAAGAAACCACATATAGACTTGTACATAGGGAAAAATTTCTCCCAATACCTCATTTTATGCCCTGAAGAATGAGGGTTTGTGTCCCAGACCCTACTTAGTTTGAAATGTATTGCCTTTCAGTTTCATTGAATGTGCCTTTGTTCTGTGTTATGAAAGTAAATAGGTGTGCCTGATTGTCTTCTCTGTGTTAGTCATTCTTTTATGTAACTATCACATCCCTCTTATTTATATCATTAAACTAAACAGTCCCAGTCTTTTCACTCTCTCCTCTCTTTCCCACCATGGTCAACAGAACAAAGCATTACCATGTTGTTGCCCACATCTTTGTGTAACACTGAGATATTTTTATAATTTTTTCACCAACTTAGCAAACTATCCATCAGGATTCTTGAGTTTAAGAACCATTTATAAAGTATGATCTTTTATAACCCCAGATTTTCTAATATAAAGATGGAAAAGGGTCACTAGATTAAGTAGATTTTAGTAACTCACCACTTCCTTTTTGGTGGCATAATTTCTGTCTGTCGAATTTAGACTTACACTGTAATATGCCATCACCTCCAAGTAATCATTTCTGGGCCACACATTACATTCTTACACTTATGAATAGGAAAGGAATTTTGAGACAGGCAAGAACTAGTTGTAAGAGCTTTACGTGACTCTTGAAATGCTTAATTGTACAATTATGGATAAGGTCTTTTCTCACTTACTCAATTATTTTGTTATGTTGGTAAATAGTGAAATTGCCATAATGAGAACCTTTGAAAATCTCTTGCAACTCTTGAGGTGTGATGTGTGGCTTTTTGGTCATTGTTTTTGTTTTGTTTAGGGAAATGTCTCCCTCACTTCTCAAAAAAACAGTGTGGATTACCTGTTTTTTTTAATCAGTTCATATTTTTGGTTCATTTTCAGAGAGACATTCTTAAGCTTATCACAGATCATTTGTAAGTGGATTACTTTCTCACCTAAAGATTTAGCATGCGCCAGGAAGATGATATCCAGGTGTAACAGGATCAGAGAGACACAACATTGCAGTAGCCTGCTCCTGAGCAACTTGAAGAGTATAAAAGCAGCCTTCTCTCTGTCCTGGCCCCCAGTCCAGGGGGCTCTGCATTTTAATTTAATTTTAAATGAAGCTTCTTAAACATTTTAAAAACCTTATTTACTTTACATACAACAATAGTTTAGTGATATATTATAGACTTGTAGAAAGAGACCTTCTAAAAACATTAAAATGTATTACTGGCACGCGAAACCTTAAATTAGAGTGAATAAATGAAGACTCGGCCCACCACTTCTGAAAGGTTGCTGACACCTGATATAGGGCCTAATCCATTTTTCATTGACTTTGGTGGGTTTTGGCTCAGGTCAGAGCACACTAAAGTTATCTCAACTTTTTTTTTTTTTTTTTTTTTTAAATTTAAAGAGAGGGAAGAGGGACAGATAAAGGAAAGGGATAAAATTGGGTTCCCATTTGAGGGTCCAAGATTACCAAATGGTCATAGGGCCAATAATTTTTTGTATCTCTTAATCAAGAGACCATCTAAGAAGCTCATATACTGATGATCTAGCCAGATTATGTCTTTGAAGTTATTTAAACAAAAATAAGGAAACTATAAAGAAACAATGCCACTCAATATTAAATATAAACGCTTCAAATAGTGACAAATAACTCTAATAGTGCTGTACCAACTTTCTTTTATACCCTAATAAACTAAGCTACTCAAGTATTTATTGCTGTTCATAGCATTACCCCTACAATTCCTCAAATGCTCTCTGTGATTATGGGCATTTCTTTTTTTCAGTGCAACTGGTTTGTCTGTTTTTCAGCATCAGAAGTTTGTAATAGAATTTAAAAGTTGAGCCAATTGAAATATATTCAATTTGACAAGTTAATAAGCTGGCCAAACCACAATTTCTACCACACACTATCTGCATAATTCTCTTTCTCAATAAAACTTCAGTTTTGATTTCCATAACTCCCACGCTTGCTGCTTATTCTATAGGCTGATAATATAGGTAAGCAGGCTAATGTTCCCCTGTTCAGAATAAAATAAAAGTATTGCAAGAACATTAATAGAAAGCAAGGCTTCTTTGTTTGTGCAAAAGTAGTTCTTTTAAATTACAAATGTTAAAAAAGTGTATTTTAGTACTTTAATTTAGCACCTTCAAACCAGAGAAATTTTTCGTACCGGATGCACAAAACAGTCTGAATAACTTACCAGTCATTCAGGGTGTGATGTTAACACAGCTCTTCTCTGTTACAAAAGGAGAAAACCCTTCCCCCACCTTTCTTTTCCCTTTCCTAAACTTGAGTTATCATCCCAGAACTTATTTATTCCTGCTCTGGAAGTCAGTGGAGTCTAAAATGGGAGCAGCAGTAAGAGCTGGTGGGGATAGTTTCTGGGTTTACATCCTTGCCATTAGAAAATGGAATAGCAGCACTAGTAAAAGAACCAGTGGTGTCTTAGTTGGTCATCACTTATTTAGTTCTTCTCCTATAAAAGATCTGTCTCCTCAACAGCTGTCACTCTATGTCTTAACATTTAAAAATCAGGAAACTTCATTGAGTATTTCAAAATGTTCCATAGGAGAAATTCCTGGACCCTCTGTTTTTGTTTTGTTTTTATATTAATATTGATACACCATTCTGAAAAAGTTTAAATCACAGTATTTAGAGGAATGGATTGGAGAGCATGGATGTGTCCCTATCCAGCTACATACACATGCTGTGGGGCTAGCTATGGGCCTGCCCAGGAATATGAATTCATTTCAGATACATTTCTTCATGACCCCATTCTCTTCCATTGTGCAGCATTCTGTTACCACACAGTGATGTGTAATGAAAATAGGTGACTTTCCCTTCCTATTTTGAGTTACTTTAACCACTGCATTTTACCTAGTGATTTTGTTATAGTTTTAGCTATGTGCTGCTGCGCTTTTCTAGCTTTACCAGTCCCTTTAAACATCTTTCTCTACTTTTTATTTGAAGAGTCCAATTCTGATCTGGATCTGCAGCCCAAATTCCCCCCCCCCCCCCCCCGTTATTCAAAACCAAGGCGTCACTTGCCTGTGTGACTAAAAAAGTTTCCATGCCATGGAGCCATTATAATGACTTTTTTACTAACTGATGTAATTTGGGGCATCCTGCTTACTATACACATCCAACAGAGACATTATGACCTTCTCACCTTTCTTGGCAGAAACCAAATCATCTAATATCTGTAAGTTGAATTGTGGCTAGGTTTATTCTATGTGCCATGATTAAAGCGCATCACAATGGCAGGCAAATGTAGTGCAGTCGTGTTCCTACATATTACTCCTGGGGGAATTCTGCGCCAAAAAATTAAAAATTCTGGCATTTTAAAATTCTGCAAATTTTATTTGTCAAAATAACACTACATAATCACACCAGTTTCAATTATTTTGGTAATTTATTTCAAAGTACCTGTCAGCAAGTATGTCTATAACGATACAGAAAACACAAAAATTCCCCCATGAGTAGAGAGTTAAAGAAACTCCTACAACAACGCAGTTCCTGCTTCTCTGCCCCCTCCCCTCTAGAGCCCAGCCAGGGCTCCCCCCCAGCCAATACACCTCAACCCCCTCCCCCCAGATACCTGCACCCCCTTCCCTCCCAGAGTTCAGCCACAGAGTCTCCCCACCCAGAAACTCCCCCTCCCCCCAGAGCCCAGCTGCAGGACCCCCCAGTCAGACGCACACCCCCTGAGCCCAGGGATCCAGCAGGAGAAACAGCCTGATGCTCAGTCCCAGACTTGCACAGTTTCCCCTGTGCACCACTCTCTCCTTCCCTCAGGGCATGCGGGGAACTGCCACTGCCAGGAACCCTCTAGCTCCCTCTCTCTCCCCATGGCAGTATCTTCTATGGGCAAGCTGGGCTCTGCTGGGTCCAGCGGCCCCTAGTGGTGGCCAGCAGCACTGCAGCCTATTTCTGTGGGGGTAAGGAAATTTTCAATTTCTGCAAAATTCTGCATTGCACAGTGGCGCAGAATTCCCCATGTAACATATGCAGCGATCTGACTTGTCTACATGTCTGTTAAAACAACTCAGAGTCAAGAAGGGTCTAGCCAGAACAGCACAAGGCAAGTAACTTTGGGAAAAAAGAAGACCGCATCCTTTGGAAAAGCATGGGTATGATTTTGATCTGTTCCCAGGACAGCCTAACTGGATGTTTTGGAAACAGATGAAAAGCAGATTCTGTGTCTGCTTTTACAGACTGAGCTCTTTCCACAACTCTTACTCATTTATATTGCTTGGTTGAGAGGAGCACATACCACTAACAGCAGCAAATGATCTACATAATCATTAACTGGTTCACCATCTGAATAAAATGTTATGTAAGCTAAATCCCAGGTGGAGACTCCTTCAAGACCACACCCATATGGGAAATCTTCATTCACTTGACTGGAATTTTAAATAAACCTGCTGCATTCCCTAATGCTAATTTTCTCCACATGCTCTAGGCATCATAACCGCAGATTTCAATTCTTCTGCCATACCCATCTTTTTCTTTTAAGTATCCATGTAGAGTAGTACAAAGCCATCCACAAATGGTGCACCAAAAATTCTTCTCTTCACACATTTGAGAAAGGTTAATCATTTCCACCTCTTCTTCCACAATGTTTATTTATTTTTTTTAAGTGCAAGGACTGTCATTGTGAACAGCCTTGCATTAAACAGAGGGGGAGGGACCTTACGTCCGCCCCAACTTATGAATCCATATAAGGTCTGATCACAACTTCCCCCACCATAATCACTGTACTTAAAATGGCAGCAAAATCTACATTTTTTATTTTATTTTTAAATGTTATGTTCTGCCTTTTGACCACCACCTGCATTTCCAAGTGACATTCAGTCCTGGGGCTTGGTTACACCTTGGATTTTCATTGTTGCAGTTTGTTTTAGGCCTTCCAACCACAGATAAGCAAGCAATCTTGCCATCATTTTGTCTCCCTCCCCCCATCCCCAAACAATAAACTAAGGGCAAATCCAGAAGTCTTTCTACTTAGGCAAAACTCCCATTAACAATCCTATTAAAGTCAATGGCAATTGGATTTTGTCCTCTGTCTGTGAACTAAAAATTAGAATTCAAGGAGAGAGAACAAGAATAGACTGTATGAAATGTGTAATGTACGTAGAAACTTACCTTTGCAAACTGCCTCATTTGCAGACTATTGATTAGAAATAACATTTCACTGGAGGACAATAAACAGAATGTGTGGTTTAATTGCAGTCACGTTTATTTGCAGTTTCTATACACACTTTCTAGGTAATCAAACTTTTCTGACACATTTTTTGAGAGGGGTTCACAATGAAACTGTCACTGTTTTTACTAAAAATAAATACAAGACTTAAAGTGTTGCACAGCTCTAAAATATACAAAGGCTTGGATTTAATGTAAACTTTGAAAACATTTTACAAAAGAAACCATCTTTGCAACAATTTAAAAAGTTCATATTTACAAATATTACAAAAATACAAAATGGATGCAAGTCCATAAACCATTGTCTTTTCTGCCAGCATGAACTGGTGCTAGTACCAAAATAGTTACACTGTAACCTCCTTAATTTTTTTTTAATCTTTAAGTCATAACCTACAGTATTTCTCTAAATCTGCCACCATTGCAGCAAATGCACTCAATCACTGACCTTTGGCAAAAGCAAACATTTGCTTTATTTGCTACAACTATTCCATGTCCTCTATGCTGCCACAAAAGAAAAAAAGAAAAAAAAGTTATTTTTCAGACACAAAAACAGCTGCATAATTTCCAAAAACCATTTCCATAACCTCAGTGCAAACAGAACAATAGCTTGGAATGATGGTTCACAAGTTACCTAGTGTAGCATTGTACCCTGTTTCAAGATATGTGTTGTTATTTTTGTTCTAAAGCTTGTCTTGAGCGCCTTTAAAGATATAAACCTCACTAAAGGGGTTTCCTTTAAAAAATTTTCTGGCTCCCTCACTTGTTATGATTGTGAATTCTTTTTTTTTCTTAGTGGATTTACAATCCAGCTTTATTTGGGTTTAACTCTGTTAACTAGAAAATAGAAAAACTTTGTCATAGATTTTAGATTAAACAAAATAAGTAAAACTATATTTGATGTGCTAGTTCTGTGAGCATTACATACAGAAGGTATATTACTGCCTCATAATTCAAGTCAAAATGTTTATCTTTATATATATATTTAATTTCATACACATTTAATTTCATAGTGGTACCATATATATATGGTATGAAATTAAATGCCTTGTTTGTTAATAAAAGGTGATATCAATTTATCAAAGTCAACTCAGCTGTTTTCTACTTAAACTTTAGAATGATTTTTTAAAGCATATTAAGGATATTATAAAAGGGCGGCTGATATAAATTTTAAGGTAAATGACCCAAGAGGACCAAATAAGACTGTTCTGTCTGACTCATCAACTTCATTTACTCATGGTCTCCAAAAAAAAAAAAAAAAAGTATTTTGAGATATGCTAAACGTGTCCTGGTAAAAAACATACTAATTCATTTATTTCACCTGCACTTAGACTCAGGTTTTCTTAACTAGCCTGTTGACACAAGCAATGAGACTTATTTCCAAAACCTTGACCCACTTATCTTTCTTTAAACACCTCCAGGTTTTCCTGATGTTTTAAACCGTTTTGCCGATTTAATTTCCCCCCAACACACATACTCACATGCACACACTGACCATATCCCACGTACTGTATGCTATCACACTGCACAGAAGGACGGTAGAGAACCCTGAATTATATTTTTTGTGGTGTACACTAGATGAAATAGGACATATTCTAATGGGAAATAACATTCAAATTTTTGTTAAGTCATTCTAGTTTATTCAGTCATTCCAAAATCATTCCAATTTTAAATAGAACCGTCCTCTTCAAAACATTATTTGCCTTCTTTTAAAACTCTCTGCCCTATGCATTGTATAAGTAAAACCTAAACCAATAAAACCCCTTTCACACATCCCACTTCCCTATCGTCATTTACTTATGCTTGAAGCCAAATTTATTTGATTTCTTTAGTACCAAAGTACCTTTCTGTCATCCTACTCACTCTGTCCTACTCCATGCCACATTCTTCCTTAAAAACTCTCCTCTGCATTAAACCATCCCATGTTCAAAAGCATATTCTACTGCAAGCAATACCAACTGCTTACATTTTGAACAAATAGGGCCTGATTCTCCACTTGGCGTAAGCGGTGCTACACCGTTGGAAAACTGGTGTCACAAAAGGGAATCAGGCCTATCATTTTAAACATTGGTTTTATTTTGTTTAAAAATTAAAGATATAAAACAACTTGTGGTTTGAGCTCACAGCTATGTTTTCTTTCAGTTTTAAGACAAGAAAATTCAAGTAACTTCAAGTAATTCAGCTTTTGTTTCCCTGCCTTCAGTTTATCAAAGCATTTGCTCTGACTCATCTCCTTTCCCTCCCCCATATCATTCCCCCACCCTGTTAAGCATTTCTGGTAAACCCAGACAAAACTAAGCTGTATGTGGCTGGCATAATGAACCAGAGCATTCCTCATTTAATAATGAATATAAATAATGCGTACACACACTTATTTCCCAGCTACGTTTTTCACAGTGTCATTTCTGTAAATATTTAGGTAGCATGAATCTCATCAGCACAAAGAGAAAGCTTCACTGAAAACTCATTGTAAATATTTACTGATAAAACGGTGTTTGTTGCATGCTTATAATTTATTTGTTTCCTTTAAGAACCAGAAACTAATCATGTTTAAAGATTATATTTCTCAGGTTATGACTGTTATGTATCCCAATAGTCTAATAAGAATATGAAAATAAGTACTATTTCCTCATAGCTATTCTCTCTAATGCAATCCATGTCAGAATAAAGGGCTAAGGGACACTGTCAAATGTGACTGCTTGGGGCTTTGCATTAGAAATGATTTTGTTCTGTTAAAAGCATGCTTTCCATCCCTACCAATTACCACATTGAAACTCACAGCTGCACTTTGCAATTAGCTTGTTTTGAGCTAAATTTTGAAAGACAAATGGTTACTTTAAAATTAATCAGCTCTTAATTAGCCTTAATATTTCATTAATTAACATTGAGATTTTCTTTCATACAGTTAGAATTCAGATTTGAGGCTTTTTGATCACACTGAAAGTGGTATTGGTGGACATGTAAATACGATGTTTGATATGAAAATGGTATTCACAGAATACAGTTAGTACATTTTACTATTTTTGTCTTCTATAAACAAAGTTGTTATGCAGTAAACTGTTTGCCATGTGTCCACTTTTTTCTGATTATTCTATTTACAGATTTTTATCAAAAATATGGTATTTACATATGTTCTGTTAATTTTTTCTAAATTTTGTTTCAGTTCATTTTAGTGTAGAAAAATACCAATCCGTAAGCACAATTTCATTTTTTCCCTAGGGAAGCACTACAGTGAGAGGTTTTGTTCCTAAATGGGCAACTTAAAAAAAAAGTTATTTTTAATTCTATGAAAATTGGATGATTTTGAAATCTACAGTGACAACAGGAATGAGAGTAGGATAAATGAAGCTAAAGGTAAACAGAAGAGACATAGCATATATTTCTACTTTTTAGAAAATGTAAAGTAATCAGTAGCTACAGCTCTAAATTTCTGTTTTCCCAGCATCTTATAAACACAAACACTTTTAAGCATTGATATTGCCCTGCAATTGTTTTGACTGCTACAGCGTTGGCCTCTTATATTCACATCCTTTTATAACCCCAGTAATTTCAGAGTTTACAAGTTTCACAGTCAACAGTGTGGCTCTCTGGAGCTTAGGCAACCTATGTTGAACTCTGAGAAGATCGGTCGTCATGAGGGCTGCCATCTGAATTCTCAGTTTCTCCTTCTGAGATAGCTTGCATCGGCGTATTGTACAGCCTACAGCGTACGCTGTAACGGCTGCTGCTGGCTGCAGGAGGTGCCCGCGAGCGCCCTACTCTTGAAGATGCAGACATAGAAAAGCTCTTGGAGGAGAAACCTTCTGCATTAACTCTAGGGGAGCAAGGAGACAGGGGGGATAATGCTTCAGGAGTTGATGCCTGGGGAGTCTCATCAGTGTTTTGAGGGGAATCCACAATTAGCTCACTGGGAGATTTGGGCAAAATAGGGCTCTTTAGTATCTCGGTCGCTGACATCCTATAGCTAGAATCGGATCGACTGCCCTTTTTAAGGAGCAGTAGCTTAAATTCCTCGTTAGATGTGTTGGACTTTTTGGCATTCCTGTAAATAAGACCTGGAGACCTCTGACTGCTTGTTGGGGCTCCCACATTGCTGGCAGGTGGCACACTGCTGGCAGGTGACGTGCTGCTAGCAGGTGACGTGCTGCTGGCCCCAGATGAAGCTCTCAATCTGTTTCTTACAGAAACATCTCCAGAATCTTTTCTCCCAAGTACTTTTCTTTTTGATCTGTTAAAAAACAAAGGCACATATGTTTGTATGTTATTCCCATGAAATAATACATAGCATTGCTACAGCAATTTACAGCTTCACAGAACTAGGCACCTATTAACTCCTCACAATACCCCCACCAAGTAATGTAGGTTAATAATCATTGAAAAACTTTAAATGGCATGTAAGAATTGTATGTACATTAGGCACTAGTTACAGAGAGTAGCTCCTGTCCCACTCAACTCTGCTTGGCCCAGTCTATACAATTCATCCATGGTAGGACTTACACAGGCTTGGGAAAAGGATGGAATAATGCAACAAAAGGTGACAGTCTCTCTACTTTTGGCTCTGACTCTCCAGCAAGAGCCACCAGATCAGAATCCCCTCTACTTACAGAAGAGGTGGCGGCAATTTGGCCCTATATTTGAATACTGATATATATGTTGTCTTAGGTTTAATTATTATAAATTGTAACCTGTTTTAATCCATTGTAGCTGATATTAGAAAACTTCAGTTGTACTTTAGTCGTGATGGAAAATTTTAATTAAATACAAAAAAAAAAAAATCTAATTCTGAAGCGCTGGCTGGCTTCTCTTGGGTTTCAATATCATCGCCAGCTCATAAGAACAGAGCTAGCAGGCAGAATGAAGAGCCGATTGTGGGTATTTTGCTCAGGAGATATGCATGTTAACAACAACAACAACAACGGATGGCACCAATTGTATTTGTAAATTGTTCTACTCATTCCATAAAGATATTCAAGCTGTTCACCAGCAATACAATACAATATTATAATAAAGCAACCTTTAAAAGCCCCTTTTAAAATTTTAACAAAATAAATAAGGTGGCTACAGCACACAGAGAAAGGAGCAGATGAAAGATTCCAAGTAAAGGGCCAACAATTGTTATGCAGTTGTCATCCCAGCATAGAGTTTTTCTGGGAAGTTTGGTAAAAATCAGAGTTTTAAGATTATGGTGTTTGGAAAAAGCTATAGTTTATTTGGAAAATAATTCCATGTCTTTTTGGCTCATCATATGAAGAGCAATATTTATAAATATAAATTGATGTTCTTTTGACAAGCTACTAGGCTGAGTTAGATGTGGGGAGTAAGAGACCCGGGGAAATGTGACCAGGCAGGAGTTCAGGAGGATGTACAGAGAAAGGGAAGAAGGACTAGGAGGGACATGGACTGGGGTTATGGCTCAGGGGGATATACAGATGGGTAGCATGAAGCCATGTCTCAGAGTTGGGGTGCTGTAGAGGAGGAGTCAGGCAGAAAACACTGATGTGATGGAAGGGGGAATGAAATAGGATTGAACAATATAAAGGGCATGAAATGGGAAAGAAGAGAAAGGGCAAGGATGGTGGTGCAGGGTATATAAGGACAGTTTTTTATGGTATAAAAGCCACATCATATCCTCCATTCCCTCCACTGTCCACTACCCCATATCCCAAGATGATATAACTCCCACTTATCACACACGCCTCCTATGGACTTCCTAAAATCTGGAGGAGGGGAACCCTGCTTTAGTGGACCTTATAAACTCTGCTGAAGTAGAGCTACTCTCCTGTAGCCCTTATACACCAACCCAATTGAAGCTCTTGGCTTTCATTAAATAAATGGGAAATTTATAACCAAACAACTGTTAAAAACAGTTAAGATTGAAGGTGTATTTTAATGGAACCCAGCTAGCACCCAATAATGAGACTGTACTTCCTTTACAAAAATCCAATGCCACTTTAAAAATCCAACTGTCTGAAAGTCTGGTAATGCACAATTAAGGAGATGCAGCCAGTCTCCCACTGCTCATAATCCTTCATCACTCCCTATGATACCAATAAAGCAAAACAGTTAATCACATGATTAAGTCCATCCTTAGTCAGCAAAGCACTTAATGGGTGCTGGTAGGCTGGCATCCCTACAGGGGCAGAGGTTTGTGGTTTGTTGTATGTGTTGTATGCTGGTTCTAGTGGTGAGGTATGCATCTCGGTGGAGGAGTAAAAGGTATGTCATGTTAGATGCCTTAACTTTTCATGTCCTTGCTTTTGTCATTTTGTGTAAGGTATGTTATATAGAAAGTTATTCTAACTCACACACAACTTTGTGTTTTTTAGATTCCCAGTTTTTTAGATTAAGAAAGGATCTCCAACCCAGCAATGGCTACTTTGTGAAAATAACCATCTGGTGCAGAAGTTACTTCTGCTCCTTAATTGCTGAACAATTTGACAAAGAACAGGATCTTCAACATTGGTAGCTGTTACTTTCATGAAGACAAGGAACCCCTGAGCACACTGACAATTTTACAAAGAGCAAGGCGCTTGATACTGTAGCTGTTGCTTTGTCAAAAGCACTGTTCTTTGTGACATTGTTAGTTAGGTCAGGAGCTTCGCTAATGAAGATTATAGTTTTATGAAGACCAGCTTCATTCCTGAACTGCTGAACAGTTTCACAGAACTCTTTTTCTATGACAAACCAATAGCTACTACTTCATAGAAGATCCTGGTTGTCATAAACAATGGTCTCCTTCAGCTCACCACAACTTAAACCAACAGTTATGACAAGAAGCCCTAACAATTTTTTTGTTAATTAACAAAATAATTATATAACCTCAGAGGCTTCACGAAACACATTTTGTACTTTCTACACTTCGCAGTTTTTAAGTTAGAGTGACCCAAAACCTCATGAGATTCAGAATGTGAATTCTGGACAGATTAATTTCTAATAGATTAGAATTCAGAATCCAAGAAGCTGATTTTCTTGAAACTGCTCAGAAAGTTCAATTTTTATTCAATGATTATGTGCTAAAAATTTGGAGCAAATACACTGTGGTTTTCACATAAAACCAAGAGCTTGAATCCTGCTGTAAGTGTAAAACAGCACATTCTTAACTATGGTAGCATAATGGAACTTCCATAATACTCTTACTGTCAGTGGAAATAGAACTCAGAATCTTCAGCACCAAAACTCTCTACTACTTGAACCAAAGGAGTATCTCCATTAGCTAATAAGAGTAGTAGGCTCTTATTCTCAATGTGGTCCAGCTAGTAAATGGGAACATGACTCACTTAGCCAGTGTGCATTCCCTTCTTGGACACTGTTAGTTGATGCTTAGCTGCAGATTTTAGGAGGAGAAGATTGTATTCTGTATTCATATGGATTCCAGTAACAGTAATGCTAGATCACCTGTGAATGACTGCAAATAGATCCTCTGTAGTGCGAGGTTTGTTTGGAGACACAAAAACATCTTCTGCTTCAGTCTGAGAATCTTCACTCAATGGTGAAATTATGGAATCATCACTTGGAGAAGATTCTTAAATAAGAAAAGAAGCAATGTCAGATGCTTGCCACATTTTACAATAGGATGCTAATACAATTCACAAGCTCAATTAATAATGGAATTGTCTATGCAATAATATACACTTTAAATCTAGTCTAAATATTGTACTCGTCTGTCAAAGTACTGTTTCTTGGTATAAATGGTTTAGTGCTCTTTTCTTAACTGAAATGAAGTAACAGGAGAATGCAAAATATATATTCTTGTAAGAATGTTTAAAATAAAGTCAGCCAGATACTCAGCTGACATAAATCAGGATAGCTCCATTAAAATCAATGGAGTTATGAAGAGTCCCTCAACCTGAGAATCAATATTTTTAATGATCACTAAAAATCATCTCTATATAATCACTTTTTTAAATTATAGAATTAGTTAGTTAATTATAAAACTGACCTTTCAGTGAAGCATCATCTGCACTCCCTTGTGTCTCCTCTGCCCTGCTGTCATCAGAGGCACTTTTGGTTGGAATACCTGATGCAACATCATTTTCCTGCTCAGAACTTTTTTCATTAAGTGAATTTACAGTTGATATCTCTGATTCATAGCTGATATTCCCAGGCACTTTGTCATCACGGTGGCTTATATCAAACTGATGCTTAGGCTGATTACTAATGTCTGCTCCCCCAACTGGTAGATCAGACTGGAATGTGGTTTCATCCACAGGTTTAGATTCCAACTTTTGTTCACAGACTGCAGGTAATTCTTGCTTAATCTGCACAGGATCGAGGCTCCCTTCCTGTTCTGTTTCATGATAAGTTATCTTAACTTCATAATCACTTGTGAGGACAGCTAAACCTTTTTGAAACCCTTCTGTAGCAGTGTTACGGATTTGTGTGTTCTCTGGTAAAGGCTCACCAACTGGATGCATTTGGTCTTTCATGGTGCTTGCTTCTAAAATACCCACATTTGCTGAGGTTACAGTTTCTTGATCACAATTATTCTGTACACTGATAGATGAATCTTTTTCTGAATGCAGTTTATCAGGGCCTGTCTCCACTGGAGAAGAGTCAATATAGGACATTATGGCATCTTCAGTAGAGTACTGACGTGATATTGATTTCTTAGCTACAAGTGGCCTCATTTTGCCTGGAGAAATGGCAGTCACCATTAATGTGGTTTCTTGTATGCAGAGAAGGTCTGTATTATCGTCTTTTTGTTTCACTTCTTCAGGCTTATTAATCGATTTAAGGTGAACAGATTTTAGAACTGAAGGTGTAATAGCAAGGGCTGGTGGAGGATTAGGGTTTAGTGCTTCTCCTACCATGTTCTGTTTATTGTGATTAAAAGCATGCAACTGGTTTCTGTGAGCAAATGGTTTATTCAAGACATTATGAAGAGCACTTAGGTCAAGATGAGTAGGAGGTATAATTGGAAGTTCTAGATCTTTGTTTAGAGATACAGTGCCATCTTTAGAAGAAGGTTGTTGCAATGAGGACTTCCTTTCTGGTACTTTTGGCTTTCTTTTACTACCCCCTGGAGATAAGGGCCCAGAGAAGAAAGCTGTCGGGAAAGAGGATGTTGGTGTTTCAGACTGACTGGAGTAACCACTAGAGGGTGATGCTAAACCCGCCAACTTTTCCGGGGAAGCCAGCTTAAACTCATTATCAACAGAAGGTAGGGATGGGGTGGTGGCTCTCGATCCGGATTGGGATGTTTGTGATTCAGAACTTTCTGGCGACTTTATGCATTCTATGACTGTAGTACCCGTAGCTGTGCTTGAATTGGATAAAGACCTATAAGGATCATTAGATTTCAAGTCATTTAGAAGCCAGAGATCTGCATAGTGAGATTGTTCAGCACCTTCATCTTTAAATGATGGAATATCCGTGGTGTCAAACTGAATGTTCTTTAATTCACTGTCATTCTGATTAATCCAGGAGAGTTCCTGTTTGCTTGGCAGATTAGAGTTTTCCACTCTAGAAGGTGTATTTGAAAACTCAAGTGGCAGCTTCATTTCCCTGGAAGTGTGAGGCACGTGCTGCCCACTGTTTATCTTTGGTTCTTTCTTCTCAGGAAGATCTGTGCTGCCATCAGATTTCCTCAAAGATGAACTGCGTTTTGGTGGGGCTGGCTTTGCCTTTGGTTTCTTAAGAGAGATGCTCTGTCTTCCCTGCCTCCTGTGGTTTACATAATCCTGCCAGGCACAATCAGTGAGACTGGAAGCAACATCTGCATTCCGGCCACTCTCAGAGCCTGCGGCTGCATAGTTACAAATATAACTTTTATTACCTTTGAGACCACAGTCAAAGTGCATGGAGGTATAATATCCTTCAGTGTCCACAGAAAAGTGTGAGCTAGTGTCTGCTTTGTCAGATGGGGTCTTTTCTAGAAAGCTATCGTAAGTGGCCATACTCGTAAAACTTGGGCATTCTAGGCTGTCATCCTTTGGGCGTTCAGGGCTGAAATCTTGACGACAGGATGCATCGTGATGATGATGCAAGTAATTCCATTCACTATCGCTTGTGTTGCTGTTATTGGGGTCATCAAGTAAATCCGCTACAGTGGAGGTGAAGGAGCTTGCCCTGTGACCTCGAACCTTATCTATGTGATCACTGTACTGCTCTGTTATAAAGACACTAGCATCTTCATTGGCATTAGGAGCAGTGTTCAGTGACAATTCTGAGTCACAATGTGAGGAGCCAGTCAACGGAGGAGAAGCAGCAGGAGGAATGGTTTCCGACGTCTGTGAGGGACATGTTGAGCTACTTCCACTCCAGTTCCCACTGGAGGATTGATGGTCATCTTTCTGGTCCATGTGACTGCTGAGAAGGACTCCTGCTGTGGAGATAGAGTGAATGGGGCTCCCAAAGGTGTCAGAGTTTGATGAAATCTCACAGCTTCCAGAATCTGCCATCCTTGACAACCTTGACCTCCCTCTCTCGTTTACATTATGTTCTGGGCTGTGAAGGTGCTGAGAACAAGTTAAACCTATGGGCTGGTGTTCTTGTGAACCCTGGTTATTGTTACCCTTTTTTGGGATTCTTTCTTGGCTTGCCAAAAAGTCTTCTGCTTCATACGCTGAAGTTTTGGCATCAGCATCTTGATCAGCTTCACTGGCTCTAGCACCTTCACGAGGAAGACTCCGTGATCGGATACGGTTGCTCACTGCTGTAGTGAACATTGCGTCACCGTTGTCTGTCAATACCAAAATGTTGCCGGCTGAATGTGACAAGGAGGCTACAACACTTTGACCTCTCTGAGCTCGGATTCTTCTTCTGGATGGAGCAGCAATGAGAATTTCTTCAGTCTGGCACTCAGAGTCTCTGGTACCTGATCTCCTGTTGATTGTACTGGAGAAGTCTGGATTTGCATGCACAATCACATTCCGTTCTCTCGCTACTGGTGATTCATCAGAATCTAGGATACATGTAAAATTGTGTGAGATACATTTTTACATTTGCTGACTAACGATGACCCGCAGAGTAACCCAAGAAACGTATTTGTTGTAGACTTTTTTCTTGCTGAGTATTGTACCAAATGTAACTTTACTATAAAAAGCATATAAGGCAGACCTTATCCCGGTAAGATGGGAAATTCTCCTATTCCTGCAATGTGATCTTGGTTCTCCTATTCCTGCAATGTGATCTCGCGCTGAGCTGATCTTGCTGTGACAAGATAAATATTCACTTTTTAGTTTGTGTCACTGTATTTCAACTAATAAAGGCTGTTTTAATGAGCTGTTGCCTTATAGAAAACTTTGTAATCATTTTTATTTAAAACAAATCTATTTTGATTGTATATGTATGAATTTCCTTTATCTGATTCTTTACTACCAAGGGTATTTGCATAATAACAGGATCTTTGTTTCATAGGCTCTAGTTGCTTATTCCCTAATATGAACACATTCCTGGCTGGCTTCAGGAATAGATGTATGCTTAAGAAATAAAGATCCTGGATCTAATGTTGATCTCACACCCATTTTACACTAGAGCTGACTTCCAAAGAGTTACTTCTGATTTACACTGATATGAGATCAGAGTTAGGCCTCCTGATTTCATCCTCAGTAATAAAGAATGAGTGGGAATTGAAATTGGAAAAATAGATAAGAATAATGTTTGACAAAGTTTCTAGGAAAGCACTTGCAGATGTCTAATTCAAATATTCAATTGGTTATATATGTAAGTTGTTCTGGGTGCTGTGACAGCTCATCATCTTGCAGGATAATATCTGTCACTTCTTTACCTTAAGATCTCTTGCACAAGAAAAAACTTTCACTGAATCTAGTTACTTTTTATGCACATAACTATGGTTATAGAACAAAAATAAACTGAAAAAAAAAATTAAGTAACTGATTACATTTAAACAATAAGGGTTGAACATGTATATCTATATCACTCGGTAAGGCCTGTGGTATGTCAAGGCCATATTGAGTAATATAGCTTTGCTTACTGTATTAAAGAAAAAAAACCAAACACATCATTTCCAAACTCCACAACCATAAAAGCGTTAATGTTTCCTTGGAAAGCTGTTTGGAAGGCAGGCTACCACTTCAGATCCCTGCGATTTAAGTCAGTTAGAATGCTATCTATTGAAGATTTTTATTTATACTACACCTATTTCTTGTTGCACTCTTCTGGGGATGCCAGAGATGGTTTTCCTCCTTCTCAACTTTCGTCTTCGCTGTAGTACAGATTGTGAATGAACAAGAGAGCAGCGTATACTAGCCTCTCTGTCAAAACCAACTCCTGCAACCCATAAATAGGTCTCATTAGCCTTTAGAAATGGTAAACAAATGTCATGGCTGGAACACAGCGGAGGTATGTGAGCTTGGAGCCTGTGAATAAATATAATGGAGCCCTTATGCAGCTCTTATGTAAATTATATTACGGTATATCACAGTGTTACTTCTAACTCCGGCTCCCTCTCAGCAGCCTGCACTGCCAAAAGAAACAGAAGGAGAAAAAAGAAAGTAAACAAATAAGAAAAGGAAAACAGTTAGGAATTCTCCATGGCAGGCATCTTTATCACAGCTACTTATTTGTTTGCCATGGAGACAATGAAGTCAACACCTCTGCAAAGAATGGTAGCAGCCAAGATGATAACCTGAATCTGGTCAGCTATATTCTGACTCATTTAAACAAACTAATTAACTAACTAAAAAACTGGTTCATAAAACCATTTTGCCATACTTTGCTAATTCTGAGGAGACCAAGGGGCTAAGGGAAAAGGTGAATAAAGTATTTTATATCCACATGCAAGTTTAGAGGACATTTTTCTTAACCGTTACATAGGGTCAACATTTAAATAAATGTGTACTTAAAGTTCAGTTTCTAAATCCACATTTAGCCACCTCCAAAACTGGCATGATTACCCCGCAGCCTCCCATGGAAGTCAGTGGTTGCTGCTGGGTGACCAGCACTTCTGAAAACTAGGCCACATACTTAGGTGTCTAAATGTGGATTTAAGAACTGAAATTTAGACACTCATTTTTTAAAACTTTGGCTATACAGAATAGATAAGAACATCTCATTTTGTTTACATTTGCATGGTGTTACTACTAAAGGAAGGTTTGTTTTTCTCCATGATCAATAAAAAATTAAATGGAAGACAGCCAAAAAATAGAGCACTTAGCAGGGGTGCTGGAACAATTTGAATAGTGGGGGTGCTGAGAGCCACTGAACCAAACTGTAAACCCGGTATATGATGGAAACCACTTCAAGCCAGGGGGTGCGGCAGCACTCCTCGTTCCAGCACCTAAGGCACTTAGCTGTGGCTGGCTTCTCTAGCAAATGCAAAGTCATGCTCTCTAAAGTTGGCAAGACTCATGTTTGAATAATTGGGCCAGGGCTATAAACAGTGAAGTTGGGGCTACTCTTTCTGTGGTTTGCAATTTTTAGAAAAAATAAAACAAAGCAACCCAATCCTGACTAAAAAAATAAAAAAAAATAAAAGCTCTATGTTAAATAGCGTATAATTATATTAAACATAATTATACACACACACACACATATTACATTACATAACAATGCAAAACATTAAAAAGTAACTTTCTTGTAAAAGTTCTTCTTGAAATCTACTACAGTGTAATAGAGGCTTCAGACAGATATCCCATAACCACCAGTGCCCCTGTAATAAGCAGAGGAAGAACTTTCTTTAATAATGAACAAAAGTGCTCTAAACTCCATTACCTGTAATTTTTTAACGTGAATGTTTATCGGGGTTTTTTTTTTTAACAAAATCAAATTGCTTTAAATAGCTGAAATTCCAGCAATTATGAGTTAGTTACACATGACCCATGTGGCCAATGTGTCAGGTCATCTCCCAGTGGCAGGTGGAGTAGGGTATACTCTCCCCTTTATGTGTACAAATTATTCACATTAATGTTAATGAGAATGATACACACTAAACAGCCAGAAGATTATGTACCATTCTAGGGATGTAAACGTGGTGAGTGGAAATTTGGTTCCAATTTATGACAGGTAGAGTCCAGACAAAAACTCTATTACTGGAAAAGTTGACATTTATCCCAGATCTAAGGGTATACGCGCCTCTAAATATGTATGTGTAACTTTAGTGACAGTAGGAAATAGGTGCGTGCATGCTGAGGAGAATATACTCTTTAAGGCCTCACATTGTACTTATAATTAATCCTGTTAGTTATCACAGTATTATTTTCTGCTCTGATGTCCCATAAGGATATCTGACCCTCACACCCTTCTCTGATTAGAGCACTACCAGAAAAGCACAAAGGAATAAATAATACTTACTTTTATGTTTTAAGTAGAGCTGTGCAAATAAAATAATTTTTGATTCATTGGCAATTTTGAAAAGTAAAATAAAAATGTTTTGGGTTAGACAGAAAATGAAAATTTTCCAAATTTTTGGCATATCGAAACAAATAAATAAAATCCTGGATCTAATAAAACACATTGCTTTGACAAAATCAAAATGTTTCAATTCAATTTTGACATTTTTTTTTTACATTTTTGATTTTTTTAAATAAAATTAAAGGAAATTTTTAAATGAAAAATCTTTTCAAACTGAAAAAAATCAAAATGTTTCATTTAGAAAATGTTGAAATGAAATGTTTCAATTTTTTTCAGATTTCCCCCCCTAAAACAATTTGGCAAAACTGACATAAATTCATCAATCTGGTGTCGCTGAATCTGCATTTTTCATAGGAAAAAAGCTTCAGCTGAACAGTTTCACCCAACTCTAGTTAGAAGTTTAACTGTAAGTACACAGCTTTTCTTGTTGATCATTACACTTGAGTCTTCAGTCAGAGAGGCTGCCTAGTTTGCACTCTGAAATTAATCAAAAATTGGTGCAAGGTAGTTTTATGGAAAACTCAGATGACTTTAGTACTCTAATCACTGAACCATACACGAGAAAGAGACAGAAAATGGAAGACAGACTGAAAGAAAACGGAAGCTTATTTTTGGCTTTTGGAAATAAATTATCCCTCACATTTAATATTGTATATACCTGCTGCATACAAATATGTAAACAAATTCATAAAATAAATAAAGCATAAACTAAGAGAGTTATAAATAAATGACGATGCCATTACTATACCTTCAGCTTAGCAGCATGAAAAGAGATCTCAAAGCAATGGCTTATACGCTGCATGATCATTACTTGCATATTTAAAGTACTGCAAGTGCTATAATATTTTCCCTGCCCTTATTTGCTCGGTTACATATGATTATCATATGATTAACCACTATGGCTTTCTGCATTATTTCAGTTAGCTAAATTCAAAGAGCTGTTTTATGCCCTTTTAAATGCCAGTTGCCAGTCATATACATAACAAAATTACACATCATACCGTGTAATTTAGTGTTAGATAACAGTTTGTAATGTGACACAAATACACTGGGCCAAATTAATACTGGATGTAATGCCATTGACTTCAGTGGATCTATATGAGGGAGGAATTGAGCCCAGTTAGTGTCCTGTACAAAATTAAATTCTTGAGTCAAAGTCTTGACTTATAGATTGTAAAGTCCTGTGTTTTGAAACACAGTTAATGTAATGAAATATTCTGACCTGACCACCCTTGAATCAAGCAAAAGAAATAGAAGAGATTTGTACCAGTGACATTGATGGGGATAATGCAAGAGGAAATCACTTGGGCATCTTGTTTCATTTTCTCCTCTGGAGTTGGGAGAGGTAGTGCTTTGCTCCAATTAGTTTGCTTATCCAGTGTAGAAGGGATATTATGTATTGGATTTTTCGGCCTCTGCCCTAGCATGACATCTGTGTCTTCCTCCTCTGGTGGATGGGACTGCAAATGAATACATTCAAAATCAGTGTTCACTGTTTAGTCATACAAGACTAATTTTTAAACAAAGCAGTAGAAAGAGATTAGAGGTAAATTACAGGTGAGCAATGAAGAATTATAGATATTCCAAACAATTGTATGACTATTGTTCCCACAGACACATGATGTACAGTAAGAAGATAAAAAATACCTCAACATACTGGAAATGTTTTAGTGTAGATTAAATGTGTATAGAACAATTTTTTAATGGGAAGAGGCATGCACTTTATTTGTTTGCATTTGCTGCAAGTGTGCACACAATTATGACTGATTTTAGGCATTTGTGCATGCCACTCTAGTATATGCGCATAAAATTGTGGTAAATGTGCATGCAAAGGTTTTGTACACAGAAGTACATTGACGACCACTGAAAACTGGCGCCATGTAAGCATTAATTTGAGGATATGCAGTAAGAGGCCCAAAGCTTTCAAAGTATCAATTCTTAGTTCAGAAAAAAAAGATACCAATTTCACTTTTACTAATCAGCCAGGAATGCAATCAGATTTAAGGATACAGAAAAACTACAGCTATAAATTTGGCTGTAACTGGTGTTGGTGATTATGGTGTCAAGACGAATATTAACCAAGGAGAGGATTAGCTGCTTAAGAACTAACTTAGGAACTAGGGCTGTCAAGCAATTAAAAAAATTATTTGTGTTTAATCGTGCGATTAAAAACATTAATTGCGATTAATCGCACTGTTAAACAATAATAGAATACTATGTATTTAAATATTTTTGGATGTTTTCTACATTTTCAAATATATTGATTTCAATTACAACACAGAATATGAAGTGTACAATGTTCACTTTATATTTGTTTTTGATTACAAATATTTGCACTGTAAATATGATAAAAGAAATAGTATTTTTCAATTCCCTCATTAAAAGTACTGTACTGCAATCTCTTTATCATGAAAGTTGAACTTACAAATGTAGAATTATGTACAGAAAATAACTGCATTCAAAAATAAAACAGTGTAAAACTTTAGAGCCTACAAGTTCATTCAGTCCTATTTCTTGTTCAGCCAATTGCTCAGACAAACAAGTTTGTTTACATTTGCAGGAGATAATGCTCCCCACTTCTTGTTTACAATGTCACTTGAAAGTGAGAACAGGCGTTCGCATGGCACTGTTGTAGCCGGCGTCGCAAGATATTTACATGCCAGATGCGCTAAAGATTCATATGTCCCTTCATGCTTCAACCACCATTCCAGGGGACATGTGTCCATGCTGACGACGGGTTCTGCTCAATAACAATCCAAAGCAGTGTGGACCAACGCATGTTCATTTTCATCATCTGAGGCAGATACCACCAGCAGAAGGTTGATTTTCTTTTTTGGTGGTTCGGGTTCTGTAGTTTCCACATTGGAGTGTTGCTCTTTGAAGACTTCTGAAAGCATGTTCCACACCTCGTCCCTCTCAGATTTTGGAAGGCACTTCAGATTCTTAAACCTTGGGTCGAGTGCTGTAGCTATCTTTAGAAATCTCACAACGGTACCTTCTCTGTGTTTTGTCAAATCTGCAGTGAAAGTGTTCTTAAAACGAACAACATGTGCTGGGTGATCATCTGAAATTGCTATAACATGAAATATATGGCAGAATGCGGGTAAAACAGAGTGGGAGACATACAATTCTCCTCCCAAGGAATTCAGTCATATTATTTTTTTAACGAGCATCATCAGCATGGAAGCATGTCCTCTGGAATGGTGGCTGAAGCATGAAGGGGCATGCAAATGTTTAGAATATCTGGCACATAAATAACTTGCAATGCCGGTTACAAAAGTGCAATGTGAATGCCTGTTCTCACTTTCAGGTGACATTGTAAATAAGAAGTGGGCAGCATTATCTCCCATAAATGTAAACAAACTTGTTTGTCTTAGCGATTGGCTGAACAAGAAGTAGGATTGAGTGACCTTGTAGGTTCTCAAGTTTTACACTGTTTTGTTTTTGTGTGCAGTTATGTAACAAAAAAAATCTACATTTGTAAGTTGCACTTTCATGATAAAGAGAATGCACTACACTACTTGTACGAAGTGAACTGAAAAATACTATTTTTTATCATTTTTACAGTGCAAATATGTGTAATAAAAATAATAATATAAAGTGAGCACTGTACCCGTTGTATTCTGTGTTGTAATTGAAATCAATACATTTGAAAATGTAGAAAAACATCCAAAAATATTTAATAAATTTCAATTGGTATTCTATTGTTTAACAGTGCGATTAAAGCTGTGATTACAGTAATCACGATTAATTTTGTTAATCACAATTAATATTTTTAGTTAATCACATGAGTTAACTGCGATTAATCGACAGCCCTATTAAGAAGTTTGAAGTATTATTTAGAAACCATGCAAATATTTCAGAACATGCTACCCATACAACTAGACATGGAAGTATAGAAGGCCAAATAAGCAAGAGAAAAGGCATGGAAGAAAAACAGGTGTTTTTAAATAGAATAAAGGTCCAGAACTCTAATGCTGTTGTAGTTTCACTTAACAATAAAGTAATAAGTGAAAAACATTTTCTCCTAACTTTACAGTTAAAGACACATTTTCAAACTCTCTCTGTTTCCATTTTGTTTGGAAATGGAGGGGAGGGGGAACCACATGCCTTACTCTATGTCTGCCCTACTTTCCCCCTTTTTGAAGTTAATACACTTCTATGTAGTGAATGATCAGTCCTTGACTAGTTCAGGACATCTGCTTATGTCTTTTTCTAAATACTGTGGAATATTTTTGAGCCTGGTTTTCTTTTCAGTGTTAAATTCCCAGCTGGCTAACTATTGGGGCTCTTGCCTCTGGCTGTTGTTTACAGTATATTTTCAGAGTGTTAGTTTTGTGCACCTATGTGGTTAAGACAAACATTTTTTCTCCCTTTCCTTGGCACAGCATTTAGCATGTAGTTACCTAATATTACACGATCACACCCAAATTATCATCTTTGTGCCATTCCTCTTCATAGAGTTCCCACAAATCCTGTGGGAGTTGAAGGTCTAAAGCTTGGCAAACATTTCCAAACCAGTTCCAAAAGTGTTTAAGATCATACTTAGCAGCCACTTATTTAAACTATTCCAGGACACTTACCTTATAAGTGTTATCTGCGAAAACACCCACAAACCCAGGAGACAGGGTATCTTCCCCCCCTTGAGAAAAATGTTTTTTTCCATATACGGTTTTAGTAAAACTTTGCAGCCTTCTTTCTCTCCTCAGCTTTTGTGCTGATCACCAGCAGACGTGAGTAGCTCATATAAACTTCAAGCACAAAAGACTTTGTTTCCTAGGTAACTTCCCCTCCCTTCTCTCCCCCCCCAAAAAGTTTGGGGCATTGGGGAAACACACACACACACACCATTTTGTTGCTGATTCCTTCCCTGAATAACAATGGATTGCTGGACAAAGAAAGCGTAGTGACCTGACAGCAGGCTCTGACTGTCTGCCAAAGCTACTGTTTGCAAACAATGGGAATGACAACTGTCCAGAGAATGAATGTATGCTTTTGCTCTGGCATCATTTTGATGGTTTCGAAAAATATTGGTCTATTCTGAACATTGCAAGAAAATAAAATGCAATCACCCCCATTATAGAGTCCATCTCGATCCAGACCTTCAAAGCTAGTCAATAGGAGGAAATGATCCTGCAGTCCACTAAACCTATTACAGTTACCCAAAATGGGGAAAAAACGTGGTTGTTGTTCCTTATTGATAAGAGAGTAACACACAAAAGTTTTCTTTGAGATAGTGCAACGAAGTGAGAAGCGAAAAGCAAGCAAAAGAAAGGGTTAGAGGTTTGAAAGAGAGAAAATGAATGAGACAGGGCTGTTAGTTTAAGAATGCTTGTTTTTCCAATACCTTTCTACTCCATGGGGTCATGTGGCAACACTCAGTGGGGGAAGGCGAGCGGGTGCTGTTAAACTATAAACATGAAATGTGGGGGGAAAAAAGATAAAATTAAAAACATACACAAAATGTTTTTGATTAAAGCACATCAATTCTGTCTAGAGAAACCGCTATAAGATTTAAATTGAGCTATAACTGCAATTTGTTTCCAGCTGAAGAATTCACCTTCCTGAAAAGGTTCCTTTTCTCTGAATAAACCCCCATCTCATCACTTGGCGCATAAAGACATGTCCACACCCCAAAACTGTACTGATTTAGCTAAATTGGTTTAGCAACTAATATAGTTAAATTGAGGCAGCCTTCTGGTGTGACCATTGTTAAAAATCATCTTCAGAGTGCCTTATATAGCTTTAGCTTAGGTCAATTCCTTACAGATTTAAGTCAAAACTTTGTAAGGTACTCGTCCAAATTACATGTCAATTATCTATTTCATGACTAAGTTAAAGATTTATCTGCTCATCTGAAAATAATGGCTGAAAATAAGGCTGATTCTAAAGATGATATATCTAAATCTTCTGTAGATCAATTTCAATTTTTTGACGTTACCATTAAAACAGCCTAAGTAGTAATCATTATGTCAGAATGACAAGGACAATTGGCTTTATATGCATTTGCATAATGCTTTAAAGGGTAAATAGAGATGTCCAGCACATTACATGTTCTGGGTGAATTGCAGGATGTTTGATGTCTTTTTATCCCCAAGATCCTGGTTTGTTTGTGATTAGTGTCTTGTTTTAACACCTATGACTGAGTGATGACGTCTTTTGAAATGATACATGAAAAATCAAAAAATCAAAAGAAAATTTAGCCCTCGATAACCTTAAAAAGCTTTGATTACCAAGTGTTGCTCAATTTGGTTAATAGTGGCTCTCAACTGGTCTCATTTTGTAGGCCACTCACAGAAGAGAAATGCTATTATGGGCCATCTTCCCTCCTGATCGACACGGAAACATATCTGCTGTAGTGAATCACAGACCCAGTGTGAGAACCACTGGAGTGAGTTCTCTTTTTCCACAGCAAGCAGACAGATGTGCTGAGGCTCCCAGGTCCTAATTCTTGGTACTGAACCAAGACAGCTTTCCATGGGAATAACATCACCCCCTCTACACCTACCCAGTACCTATACAGCAGAGACCCCTCCAGCATTATCTTGCTTCCTTGTGCAGGACTAACACTGACTGAAACTTCCAAAATTAGCTGCCCACACATCTGATGGAAATAAGGAAGAGCAAATCAAATCAGAGACCACTTCCAATTTATTAAAAATAGCTAGCAAGCCATCTAGATTAGGTCCAAAACCAATTCTCTTAAAATGGGAAAGGGGCTAGGAAACGTTACTTTAGCACAGACCAGTGTCTGATACTACTGCAGACAAATGCTTTCATGGATTATGAAGGGAACCGAAAGAATAATACATGAATAATTTAAGTTTCCACTAGTTCTTCAGATATGCAAGGATGATATCACCTAGTCACCAGTAATCTACCCAGAGCAGAACCACAGCAGTAGAGATTATCCATGCAATTCAACTTTGCTGCTGAAGATTTCAAAGGATTCCTAAGAAGAGTGCTGAATCGAGACAGACCTCTCAGGAGTGGCAGATTCTTAAATGTGGGAATCCTTGTGCTGTTAAACAAAGGGCCACCTGGGGCCTGTCAGCGCAGTGGTGCCCAAGGGAGAGGAGAGAGCATAGGGATTCCTTCTCTCCAACTTTGCGCCTCTGCTCCAAGGCTGAAAACGAGTGCAAGGACTGCTCCATGTTTGCACCCAAAACAGCATCTGCCTCCCCAAAAGGAACAAGCGATGGCAAGATTGGGGCCACAAATTAGGCAGAGAAGATGGCCTCAATTAGAGGGGAGCACATGTTGTAGCTTATAAAAGCGTGAGTGGTGTCTGCACTAGTCCAGTGCTCCCAGGATTACTGTGTCTGTCCTAGGGAGCTACTACTGGTACGGTCTGCCTGCTCCCTAGCTCCTCTCAAAGGCCACAGTATCCCCAAATGGGCCATTTATGTTCCACTGAACTCTCTACCAGTATCTACAACAGTTTTTATTTGTTAAGGAGTGGAGAGGGATCCCTTTCAAAATACAGCCCCCCCTCGAGAAGTGGGATACGGTAATGATGATTTTCCAGGTACCACAGTAACAAAAACTGGTTTATTCTAATAGTAGGTTTTGCTGCCCAACTACTGTTATAATACAAGCATTCTCAGAAGACAATGTGCAATTGAAGCCTAGAAAATGAAATCCTGTGTGGGACAGTGGGAAAGAGGCTAAAATCACATGACTGATAGGGAGGTTTAAAAAAAAATCATTAATAATGCTTTGTTGCTCAATGCAGACTGCATAATGCCTGAATTACTTTCCAAGAATTACTGCTACTACTTTTTTTTTGAAAATCCTTAAGTGGATTAAAAAAATTAAGAAACTCTGCTCCAATGCTGAAAGCAGCCAAAAATGCCAACAAAGCATAACAGTGTATTCATATTAATGGCCTAAAAAATATCAGCACTGATAAAGGCATTCAACGCACACAGAGATGTTATGGGATTTCTGAATGACTTAATCGGTAAGAGGCCATAATCTACATTAGAAGTGCTTGTGCAGCCAGAATCCTATTGGCAAAAATATCAGGATTGTCTAATGAGTGAATAGAAAAGATCTGCATTGAAATACAACTCTAAAGAAAGACTTTGATATGACTACACCACAATACTAGGTATTTAAAAAATAACAGAGATGAAAGAAGGAATAAAATGGGTGAAGAAAAAACTTGTTAAAAGACAGTATTACTTAAATATCCACTTTTCCACTCTCAAGCCTTGGCTTCAAGAAAAAAAGGTGTGTTCTTAATGCAGGTAGCTAACTCGAGTTAAATCTGAGTGAAGATAAGGCAGTCTGTAGTTTGCACAAAAGTCAGCAGGTCGTGTTAAAGATATGGGAAAACCTAGTCTAAAATCTACTTGCCAACTCATGTGAAAACTACAGACGGTCTTGTCTTTACTAGGCTTTTACCTCAAGTTAGAACGCCAGTTAAAAACCCGTCTTTTTTCTTAGTCAGGGCACTGCCTTGATGACCAGTTAAAATCCAGCCAAGCTTGGTAGTGATTTGCCATCTGATGACTGGTCAGTGATCTCATTTCAGTTCTCAATAGACTCCATCATAAAAAACCCCACAAGTGGTGGCAGTTTCAGCATAGAGGCCAAGAACTGAGCTGGCATGAGGCTACACTATTCATTCAATTCCAGGTGGTTCATCCAGATTAAGAGTGAAGCACTTTGGTGGGGCAATCTGAGGAAGCTTTGCACTGTTGCTGTCAGTGTTTTATCTGTGCTGTGGGTAAATACAGATTTTCAGACAAGGCTGTCAAGCTGGCATCTTTTAGCATCATTAACTTCCCTCTCCTTTCCAGATTGAATCAGATCAGGCACTGTCTTTTTCAGATGCTACTTCCTATGACAAATTATAGGCCCAATCCTGCCAGGTGCTGAGCACTTTGCAAGATGGACCCTAATGATAAAATATTAAGGTGTGATTACTGATTTAGGTAGCCATTATTTTGTGCTGCCCACCTTAAGACCCCTTACATCTGATATTCCAATGTGCTGGGCACCTATAAATCCATTTGAAGTCAACTGGAGCTGCAGGTGCTCAGCTTCTCTGAAAATCTGGACGACGATGTCTCAAAATGGGCACCCAAAATCAGAAGCCACGTTTGAAATGTTGGTTTAACTGAATTTCATGATACCATGTACAGCATATGGGATGTCTCCATTGAACACAAAGAACCAAATGCAATACGATCAGCGCAGAGCCTTCATTTAAACCCTGGTTTTTTCTTTCTTTTGTCTTCTCAATAACAACATTATAAAGTTGCAATTTAATCTAAAAGTAAATTAAGTTTGTGCTGATTTCACCATTCTCCTCCTACAGATGTGGGTGAATCTCTGTATCTTGAGCAGTTGGTATATGCCTTCATACAGTTATTTTATTATTATAATTATTGCTATTATTACCTATTTGTATTACGTTAGCACTTAGAAGACCCAATTGAGAAGTGCATCCTGCTGTATTAAACAGCCATAGTGACAGACGGTCCCAGCCCCTAAGAGCGTACGTTCTCAATAGACAAGACAAAGGGAGGAAGAACGTAAAGTATTATCCCAGTTTTACAAATGGAGATCTGAGGCAGAGAGAGATTATGGGCCTGATCCAAATGCAATGAAGTCAGTGGAAAAATACTAACTGACTTTCCCAAGATCATACAGGAAGTCTGTTGCAGAACTGGGTATTGAACTGAGATCTCCCAAGTTGCTGCTCAGTACCTAACCACAGATGAACCTTCCTACATTTCAATTTTCTAGTCTTTGAATAAAGTAATTAGAGTGCAATTGTGACAAACAACAACAAAAGCTAAGAAAGTCAAAGGCTGATGAGGGTATGCCTGACAATCTGTCCTCACCTCACTCCATTGTGGGGAAAAATAAAGGTAGGATAATGTAAAGCAAGAACAAAATGTCATTATTTAAATAGGTCATATCTGGAGGGTTGGGGGTTGGTTTGTTTTTTAAAAAAAAATCTCTCAGAAACTCAAAAGACCAGCTCTAACTGGCTTGGGAAATATGTAATTAGTCATGAAATCATATTAAACACCCCGGGCCATTCTGGCCTGTCAGATAATTTTGCATGTAGGCAGTTTTTCATAGTGCATTTTATTTGTGTTGTTGACAAACAGCGATGGCAACAGTCGATCTGTTAAATACAAATTCAGTATTTTTGAAGGCATTTTTCTGCACGGGACTAGAAAAATTCTTCTGAAGCCATTCCAGTCTAGTGTGTAATTAATTACTTAGGGACTTCTGCTGCACTGACACATGTGAATACCGTTACTTTTATGAGAGATCCCAGCATCTTCAATGCAACTCTTTTCATGGCTGTAATTGTTAATGTGCCAAGTCTTTGAAATATCAGGCTACCCATGTAAAAATCTTAATTGCACAGATATATCTCCTATT